AATTATGTATTGATTTAGAGATTACTAGGGTAGTTGTTGAGGCTTTGCTTTGGGTAATTTATGTCTATATTTTTATTTCTATTTTCATTTTGTGTCATTTAATAATAACATATTACAAAAAAAAAAAAATCAACGGACATATGCATTAAATGGTCTTATGAAAAAAAAAACGTAAAAAGATGAAAAAATACACATTAAGAAAATAGTTAAGAAAATGAATAGAGAAAGAAAAGATAAAAACATAAATCCACTCAATAGCGTCGGAGTAATTACAAAGAAAAAATAAGGGCATCAAACAAAGACATTTGATCAAAGAAACTAAAAAGACAAAAAAAGACACAATAAGGAAAGAGCTAAACAAATGAACAAAGGGCGATAATGTAAGAATACGATCCACTTAATGACATCAAAGTTATTAAAAAATAAAATAAAATAAGGGAGATAAACAAAGATATTTGACAACCACGAAACAACACGGAAAGAGTAACCTAAGCCAACACGAGAAGAAACAACGAGTAAAAAGTAAAGTACAATTGGATGTAGGTCTACAATAGAATTGGGTCTAAAAATACGAGTGCAAAGGGCGATAATGTAAGAATACGATCCACTTAATGAATCAAAGTTATTAAAAAATAAAATAAAATAAGGGAGACAAACAAAGATATTTGACAACCACGAAACAACACAGAAAGAGTAACCTAAGCCAACACGAGAAGAAACAACGAGTAAAAAGTAAAGTACAATTGGATGTAGGTCTACAATAGAATTGGGTCTAAAAATACAGTGAAATGAATTAGAATAGTACGGTGTTTTCTTAATTTGTTTTATTTTTTTTTAATTTGCTTATGAAACCTAGGATTTCTAATTAGGCATTTGATTAAATTATGTGCAATTGATGCTTGGATTGCGAAATTGATAAAAGATTTGTTATTGTAATGTTATGAAATGTATTTAATTGTTGATTGAATGTGTTTAATGATGTATTTATGCAAACTTAGAAATTCCACAGTTTGGGTTAGTTGCTAAATGGTGACTTTACATTATAAAGTTATTGGGTAAATAATTAATTGGTGAATGACTAATGTAATAGTGATGGGTATGTGTTTAATTGTAGATTTAGCATGGGTAATGTGATGTTCATGCAAAACTTGAGCATTCCTAAATTTGGGCTATGTGACTAATTGTTGGTTAAACTTAATCAATGAATATTTATGGTTATGGTGATTAGTATGTGTAAATTGAGATTGAGTTAATTATGTTGGGTGACTTTGGATGAATTTGGCCTTGGTTTGTTAATTTAGTGATGATTTTATTGCTTAATGTAATTCGACCATGGCATGTGAATGTATTATTGAGGTTTAATAATTGTTACTTGATTTGGCTAGGATAATTGATTGATGATGATTGTCGCTACTCGATATTTGACGAGACTCTCGAAAAAAATTATTTATAATTTATTTGTTTGAAAATTGTACTTATTTTCAAATATGAGTTATTTTTAATTTTGAAGTTGCCACATAGTGTTAAAAAAACTAAGAACCTAAAACAGGCATTGGTTCAAAAATTCTAAAGTAAAGAGTTAATTAATCTTTTGAAAAGTTATCAATCACCCAAAATAATCATTTTCCGGAAAAGGTATCACGTATAGTTTAGTCCTAAAATTTATCTCCTAAAAATTTCTATTTTTACTAAAATTAATTCTAATAAAAAATCCAATTTTTATTTTCTGTTTCAAACTAATTTTTTTATTTTTATTTGTGGCATCATATTGAACCAATCATCGGACCCTCCGTCCGATGTCACATCCATTAAACATTGGATTTAGTTAAAGTCTCAACTTAACCAGGTATGTCGGTGAATGACCTAATTTCTAAAAACATGATTGATTTGGGCTAACATCAATTAATTTTTCCCATAGTGTTTTTCTATATTTTTTCTTTTTTATATATATTTATGCTCCTAGCACTTTCTTTCTTTCTTTCTTTTCATTTTTATCTCTTTTTTTTACATAGTGTTTTTCTATATTTTTGCTTTATATATATATATATATGCTCCTAGCACTTTCCTTTTTTCTTTTTTTCTTTTTTATCTCTTTTTTTAATCATTTTTTTAAAGTTTTTTATATCATTTTTTAGCATCTCTTTATTTTCTATTTTTCTTTTTTCCCCTAGCATTTCTTTTTCCTTTTTTTCCTATTTTTTATCATTTTTCTTTTCTTTTCTTTATTTATTTTTTGTTATTTTTACTAACATTTCTTTATTTTATTTATTTTTTTGTTTTGTTTTTTCATTGGTGGGGAATCTTCATCAATCCTTAAAATTATGAGACTCAATAATTCATCTATCTATTAATTATTTAACCTAATTATCAAAATAAATTCTAAAATTAAACATTAACTAGATAAATTCAAGAAAATTCAAAACATTAAATCTAAATTAAAAAAATAAAATAAAAGAAATAACTTCGAGCATGTGAACTAGCACTGCGTAGTAGAGTAGGTTGTCGCTAACTCATTTATGGTGGTGGTAGTTGCTACCGTTGACGGAGGAGGGAGATCCACGACTCGAAAGCTTTGATCGTTTCTCCCTTTCTTTTTTATGATACTAAGAGCTTTTGTGGACACCAATCAACTTGAGAGGCTACAATGAGTTTTTTTGCGAGTGGTTAGAAGGTCCAATTTGACCTTGGTTGATTGATTGAATCGGGTCTTTATAAACGAGTTGAAAAACGAGTTTGGTGTCAATTCATCATTTTTTAGTGTCATTGAGCCATAACTTCAGGGGGAACCACTTATAGGAAGGTGAGGATCATTTTTGTGTGGTGATAGGTGGTGGTTTGATCAAGAATGGGAGGTTTGATTGGGTATGAGATGGAGTTGGGTCATCGTGGTTCTACCTCTAATTTCTCCCTCTTCCACCGCCCTCTTCTTCTCTAACCAATAGAGATGGATTTATCTTGAGTTTGGCTATCGATTGGTGGTGTTGGTTGGAGGTAATATTGATTAGAGGACGACCAATTTGAGAGAAGAACTTCTAGCAAGTTCAGAGGGTAAACGAGTTTGATGGATAAATAAAAGCGCGTTTGGTAGGTATTTTAATGTTTTTTTTTTTAAAGGTTCTTATGTGGGCTTTAGTGGGTGATGTGTGTGTGATAGAGGATGACTGAATGTGTAGAGATGCTATGGTGGTTGGCAAAGTTAGGGAAAAGATTAATGGCAGTTTTAATAAGTGATGATGACTTGGATAGTGAAGGAATGATGGTGTCTAGTAATTTTGGATAATGAAAAGATCTCCAACATTCGGGTAGAGAGGGAGATAATGGTTGAAAAAATTTGAGAGAGATTGTGGATAATGCTTAGTTTGGTTATAGGTAGTTCAATTGTAGGAGATGGAGAGGTGGAATGGTGGTTAAGGAAGAGATGTGGGATTCGGTTCGGTCGCAGAAGAGGGGAGATTCGGCTGGCTCATTTGTTAAGAAAGATAATGAATAGTAAAATGTATAATAAAGAAAGAAAGAAAGAAAGAGATAGGGTATTTATAGGTGGATTTTGAGGTTTTTTTAGGCGAAGGTTAATTTTGATCGCCGATTCACCATAATTCATCAATTTAAGTTCAATTTTGATTATTTAAACTTTAATAATATCCTTAAATTGTAGTTAATTAAGACTTTATATATATATATATATTTCTTTTAATTGTGCTCTTCTTTTATTTTAATTAATGATACGAGGTTTTGAATCTCTTGATAGTATACTCAATTGAGTTTCTTTTGATTTTTAAACTTTTTATTTCTTTTAATTAGATTCTTAAAATTAATTTAAGCCACTTGTTTCAATTGATTTATTTTTTTATATTTAGTATTTTTTTCGTTTATTATTATTATTTTGTATTTTTAATAAAAAAATAATAATAAAAATAAAAAATTGGGTGCTCACCGTTTTCAATGAAAGTAGCGGTCTACTCATCATAATGCAAACTGATGCCCTGCCTGATCATTTTCAAATGACAAGCTGCCTGCCTAATTTTCGGTCGTATTAGGTGAATCAATTTGAGTTGGCACTTTACTCCTGGCGAACATCATCTGTTCACGTGTGTTATTATTGTCGGTGACAGGTGATGCCCTGTACAGTGCATTAACACTCTCTCTCATTTAAATCTGATCATCTGCCTGTTAATGATGAGACAAAATCTCTTCCAAACTCAGAACAACTTTCCGTTTCCAAGGACAAACGCCGTCTCTGTGTCAACCAATCAAATACAGACAGGGAAAACGTAATCAACAACGCCGTTAACGAACATCGTGGTTTCTCCAGTGATTAATAAGATTATGCCTTCGTTTGCCGGTTAAGCACAGCACAAAACCGTGAAGAAGGGTACCGTAACCGGAGGTATCGGTAGCCTAGAAATGGACAATGATTCCCTCGGTTTGAAATCATTGCAGAATCTGACTTCACTGCAGGCACACACAGAGAGAAATTTAATTTACTTTAAAAGAAATAAATAAAAGTGGTACAATCCATTTTCTTATAAAAATATAAGGTTTATCATTAAAATTATTTATCTTGCATTAAAAAAAAAGATTCACAATAAAAAATTATTTATGTATCCCATTTATTTTATTTTTACGCGAGAGAATGGAGTACAGTTTCCACTAGTGAATAATTCCTCAAGAGAGAGAGAGAGACAGAAACAGTGTACGAGTGGTAATGGCAGCGACTATTGCTGAGACGGTTGCAGAAGAGAGAGAAAGTGAAGCAGAGAAGCAAAGAAAGGACACTATTATTATTAGTTCAGATTATTACTACTATTTTCCTTCGTCTTATGAAGCCAAACGCATCTTTGAAGTCGCGGTGCTTGTTATTGCTTCAAGAGAAGCAGAAGATCATTTTGATTGCTGCTGCTGCCGTTTCACTTTCCGTAGAATCATTCCCTAGAGGAATTAGTTAATCACTTTCTGGTTAAAAAATCGCTAATCGAGTGCTAGTAGTTTTGAAAAATATAATGATCAACGGAAGTTATTATGGGGATAATAACCGTAATGGAATTGCAAGAGGGAGTTGGAATTTTCCGGTGGCCGATGATGAAGGTACCTATGATGGTCTTTCCTTTTCTTTTGAATCTGTTAGGTTTTAGTTCATCATCATTATGTAATGTGATTTTGTTTTGGCTAGGATCAGAAGATGCACTGTACAAGGAGCTGTGGCACGCGTGTGCAGGTCCGTTAGTGACAGTGCCTCGCCAAGGAGAGCTTGTTTACTACTTTCCTCAAGGTCACATTGAGCAGGTTCACTTTCATTTGCTTCTTTCTTCTTTCATTTCACTCTCTCATTCTTTTTCGCATATTTGAAATTTCTTTTTCATTGAATTTTGTGCAATATATTACAGGTTGAAGCATCGACGAATCAGGTGGCTGATGATCAGCAAATGCCAGCTTATAATCTTTCTCCGAAAATCCTCTGTAGTGTTGTTAATGTTCAATTGAAGGTAATTAATGTTACAATCTTTAGAATTAAGGTTCATTGTATGAGGATTTTACGCGCACGTTTTTTAATTGCAGGCTGAGCTGGATACAGACGAAGTGTTTGCTCAAGTCATTTTGCTTCCTGAAACTCTAGTATGATTTGATTTTATATTATTTAGATCTTTTAAATTTTTGAATGTTAATTCTAAGAACACCTCATAATTGAAAATAATTAAATTATGTAAACTTTCCAGCAAGACGTAGACTCGGTGGTGAAGGAGGATTTGCCACCTCTGCCTGCACGTCCTCGGGTGCATTCCTTCTGTAAGATGCTCACGGCGTCGGATACAAGCACTCATGGTGGATTTTCAGTATTGAGACGGCATGCTGATGAATGCCTACCTCCATTGGTCTGGTTTTTTGCTTCATTTATTTTTTTAACGTTTTGACTCTTTTTTGTTCATGTTATTAATGGCTTTATTGTTCCTCTAACAGGACATGTCCCAACAACCTCCAGCACAGAAGTTGGTAGCCAAAGATTTGCATGGAAATGAGTGGCATTTCCGCCACATATTTCGAGGTAATTGTTATCAGGTTGGAATGGGGTTCTTTGAATATAATCTGTCCTTATAAAAATGATATAATATAACCAGTTTCTCTAGTTAAACAACCTTTGTTGTACATGTTGAAGTCTGTTTGGTGTATCTTCATGTGTGTTGAGTACTGTAAGTTTAAGGATTGATTTCTCTCTTTTGTGCAATTTTTCAAAATGTTGCATTGGTCTAAAATTAGTCAATTTGTCGAGTTTCCTTTATGTTTCATGAATGAGTAGATTTTCTCCTGAGAAGTGATTCAAGAAGTCTCACTTTGATCTTCTGTCAAGTTATTCTAGTTGATTCTCCCAGTTTTATAGCTTGTAGATCCTTATTTGTTAGGAAGATATTACCTATTCCTCGGTAATATACATGCCATACTTGCCAATTCAGAATTGTTGTTATCTTACATAGATGTGTTGTAATGTGTTATAGTGAATTCCAAACTGCAGGTCAACCACGAAGGCACCTTCTTCAAAGTGGTTGGAGTCTCTTTGTCAGTTCCAAAAAGCTTGTGGCGGGAGATGCTTTTATTTTTCTTAGGTATGCTATCATCTTCATTTTCAATCTCTTTGAAGATTGCTAGCTCTAGCTCGCCTCAACTATTTTTGTACCTCATTGCAGCCCAGGAATAGTTTTGGTTCCTTTTTTAAACTATTTAGTAGGTATACCTGTCAGAGTTGATTCTAAGGTGAATCAACAAAGCATGATTGACTTCTGGATTTTTATTTCCAGGGGTGAAACTGAAGAGCTTCGTGTAGGGGTAAGACATGCTCTGAGGCAGCCAAGCAATATCCCATCTTCTGTAATATCTAGTCACAGCATGCATATTGGTATCCTTGCAACTGCATGGCATGCTGTTTCAACAGGATCAATGTTCACTGTCTTTTATAAACCAAGGTTTGTAGTTTGTTCTGTATTCGCAATTTACTGACATCAACAAAAGATGTTCCCTTGTATCCCCTTATAGAAAGTGGTGAGATTGTTACATGTTTAAAACTAAGTGATGGCTCTACATTGTTTGTAGTATGCGTTTTGCTCATCCTGTGTCTGGTTTTCTTACTCTGCATTTTATTTTGGTTCATTTGATGTGTTTCAGGACTAGTCCTGCTGAGTTTATTATTCCAGTTGATAAATATAGGGAGTCTGTCAAGATCAACTATGCTATAGGGACGAGGTTCAAAATGAGATTTGAAGCTGAAGAGGCTCCAGAACAAAGGTATTGGTTTTCCTTGAAACCATCCCAGTTTTAATTGATTTGGACTCTATTTCACCAGAAAAAGGGAAGTTGAAAAGATGTCTAGTTGTAGAAGGGGGATGGGTTCTGTAGGATGAGGGTGTATTAATATATGTTTATCATCTGTGGCCAGGTTCTCTGGCACTGTGATTGGAGTAGAAGACGCAGATCCAAAGAAGTGGCCTCACTCAGAGTGGAGATGTCTCAAGGTGGTGGCATAATATAGCTTATTAGAATGTGGATTTTCCTTTTGCTTTGCTTTTGCTAAATACTCCTCACGATTGCTCTAGGTTCGTTGGGATGAAACTTCTCCTGTTCACCGTCCAGACAGGGTTTCCCCTTGGAAAGTAGAACCTGCTTCGGCTCCTTCTCTGGATCCTGTTCCAGGGTGCCGATTGAAAAGGCATCGTTCAAATATCGGAACATCATCTGCAAATTCCTCTGTTCTTACAAAGAAAGGTATAAATAGCAATCTACGAGTCTAAACACTTCATTTGTCATTATCCGGTTATGAATATGCTCTGGTTATGCTGATTTCAACCAGATAATGGGCCTTCAAGACACCTGCAACATCAAGAAATCCGGACCTTGAGAAACACACCTGCTGGGAAGAATGACTCAAACACCAATCACAATCCTGCATGGGTTCTATCTCAAGGTAAGGACCAGACCACTTTTGATAATAGAAAATTTGGACCAGATGGCAGGATTCTTCAAGCAGTGCATGGAGCAAAACTCATGCCAACAACAGGACCTGGAACCCTGCATGAATCCTATGAATCAAGTCGCCCTTTCTTTGAGCTGAACTCTGATTATGTTGACCGACCCAGTAAGCTTACTTCAGATGAAAAGGACATGTCCAATTGGCATTCAGCTTCCATGGCGTATTTAGGCCGATCGTTTAACATGTTGGCATCTAGCATGGAAGTTCAGGTGGCAAAAGACGAAGACATACAACAGCAGCATGGAAGCTGGTTTTTGCCTTTGCCATATGCTGACAATTCTCCTCATCCATTGGGATCTAAACCACAGCATCTTCCTTTTCAACAATGCAATGAGGGGACATCTAAAGATGGTAATTGCAAACTTTTTGGTTTCTCGCTTTTCGGGAATCCTATGGCTGCGGAACGAGCTGTTATACACAGGCACTTCACAGATAAACCACAACAGCAAATCAATGTTGCTTCAGATCATCTGCAATTGTTGGGTTCTGATCCATTTTTGGAGCAATTAAAACATCCAAAGCATGCTCTTCATTCTAAAGATGTCCAGTGCAAGCCCGAGGGTGGTCCAACCAGAAGATGTGTAAAGGTTGTTACCTATTTTAGTGCAGTGATTGAGGAAGATTCCTTTTATCCAGAAGTTTTTCATTTTTCACTTTGATATGAAGCTGCAATTTACATCTGTGGCCTTTGTTGGTTTAGGTTCACAAGCAGGGGACTACTGTGGGGAGGTCTCTAGACCTGGCAAAGTTTAATGGCTATAATGAATTGACAGCAGAACTGGATCAGATTTTTGAATTCAATGGTGAATTAGTTGCTCCTAACAAAGATTGGCTGATTGTTTTTACTGATGATGAGGGTGATATGATGCTCGTAGGAGATGATCCCTGGCAGTAAGAACTCTAACTTGGGTCCTAATTTTTTCTTTTCTTGAATCGATCAGCAAATCACTTCTTCATGTGTTAATCCTATGATCATATTCTGTAGCCTGCCAGATTTGTGCAACTTGAATCAAGTTGCCGTTTTGTATAATGTAGGGAATTCTGTAGCCTGGTCCGCAGGATCTTTGTCTACACTAGAGAGGAGATAAACAGGATGCAGCCACGATCCCTGAATATAGAAGCCGAGGGAAATTCACGAAGTGCAGACCAAATGGTTGATTTGATGGAGGATAGAACTTCAAAGCATCTTTCAGCTATGAATCCCTAGCATGCAGGCTTGTGCTTACAGGCTGGCAGTAAGGTTAGAGATGCATCTACTTAACTTGGATACCCTGCCATAGTTTGGGAAACATCTGAAAGTTTGGTGCAGGGAATGGCATGTGTATTTTTAAAGGTCAATCAGTGACTAAGATCTTGTCGAATCACCTTAAGTCAAAATACTTTTTATTTTCTTTTGCATTTTGTTTTTCAAATGATTTTGTCCACATATTTTCAACTTCGTTGGTATCCCCGTTTTTCCTTCATGGAAAGAGTAAGCAGATCAGGAAATCTACCTATATCCTTTTGTTCAGGTCAGGAGGCTGGAAAGGAGATACCAATGGAAGTTGTTGCATTACGGCCAAGATGACAATTTTGAGGCAGTTCTCTTCTAAGCTTTTCATCTTATGCAGCATGGCCTGTTTGGTAGAAAAAGAGCATTTGATCATACTGAACATGTAATCTTCTGATCATTTTTCATAGTCACTCTTGGGAGGTGTGGAAAACAGCATCAGTTGTTTTTATCACCTTAGAATGCTTGGATATATGTTAGGGGCAGATCAGGGGCACTTTCCAGTTCCACTCTTGACTCTTTCTTCTGTTATATATGCATGTGAAAATATATATATATATTCTTAGGTACAGCGGTTGTCTGTTTATAATCATCAAAATTTTGACCGTACACATATCATAGTAAGTTTGTAAACCTGTCGAAGTGTTTTCTTTTTCTTTTTACCAGTTTCTATTTCTCACTACTTGAGTATCCTTTATGCCCTTCTCTTACCTATTATTGCCTTCGTTGCTTCAAGCAAGAAGGGTTGGGTGTTTTTTTCATTTTTTGTTATTGTTGCCTCTGTTGTCTTTGTGTAACTCAGTGGTGCAAAAAGACCAGGCAAGCCACAAATCTATGCTAGGTGTTGTTTAACCAGGGTTCAAATTTATGTCTCCGATACAAAGCTAATTACATATAGAGATCGCTGTTGATGGTTTGATGTCCTTCGGGTTGAAGACAACTGTCCGGGGAATATATAGCAGATCAAGCATGCAAATAGCCCTCATTTATTTTTTCTCAAAGGCACGCAATTGCCTCCAAAATGGTTGCCTGATTCAGTCATTAACAAAGAGATGACATTTTACTTGTAGATTAGAAAGGTCGAAGTGCAAGAGGTGATCATTAAGTTGGCACCGGGAAGAAATTTGATATAGCCAAAGCATAGTTTAACCGATAGGCGAGAGTTATCTCTCTGGAAGAGAACTGAAGGAGGTTCGTTTCTTTCTTTAAAACTTCACACACAAGGGCACACAATACAATGTATAGTGAAGAAATTAAGATGAGTAAAACGATTAATCAGGGCAAGGAATTTTCCATTCCAGATAAATTCCGGTAACATGCTCGAATAACGGCATTCCTGAGAGCAGCTAAGAAATTTCTACAGAATTCAATGACCATGCTTAAAATATTGCACATCAAAGAAAAACGTTAAACGTGACCAAAACAATCAAAGAGTATATATTGTCCTTTTATACTAATTTAAGTAATCATCGACTTCTACTTGCAATGGGGAAGGAGAGCCATTTCCAAACCTGCAGTATGGCATCAACTCGAGCAGATCACCGCTCTCAAAGAAGGACTGATGAAGGGCCTTAATACATTTTTCAGCTTCACTATCGTTTACTATCAAAGAGATGTTCACCTGATAATACAAAGAGAATATTTGTTAAAACTAAGACTAAGACTTCGATGCATAAATGTTGAACAAAGTGTTCAGTTGAAAGACCTTGGATGCCCCCTGTGAGATCATCTGCACATTGACTCCATTTGTTTGAAGGACATGAAAAGCCTGCCATAGAAGAAGCAAATAACATGAAGCAGCCAGGAAAAAAAGAAGATTTATTGTGCAAAAGTACTCAAATCATATAAGCTAGCGACTCATAAAAGCAACATTTGAAATTCTCTCTTCGCATAAAAGAACACCGTTTTTGTATCAAGTGCACTCTTTTTTGGGTATAAAAGAAAAAAATTTTGTTGACTTTCTTTCTGTCATAGGTTTGGTAGATTATCAAGTGCACTCTTTTTTGGGTATAAAAGAAAAAAATTTTGTTGACTTTCTTTCTGTCATAGGTTTGGTAGATTCCCAATCTGCAGACGAGCTTTCTGCTCTTGAATACACTTTGCACCAACTTGGTGCTCTTTATTATAAATTTTTCTTATCATAAAGGATTGAAAAGAAAAACGACAAATTTGAACCAATAGAATCTATTCAAGGAAAAAAAAGAATAGAATCTGTTCCAAGAATAAGGACGTTATCCTCTAAGTTGAATTGAGAAATACAACACCTTTTCTAATATTAATGAAGAATGCTGAATATTTCCAATGAGAGAGATGATCGATCTTTGCTGCAGGAGATTTACAATGGCAACTTTTTCAAGCTCTTGCACTACATTGTCAAGTTCCTGCTCAAATAAGACAATTCTGAAATGGTTTCTGTGCCGAAAAGAGTAAGCAAGATTGAATAGATAAAAAAACTTTTCTCTTGGGAGGAAGAAAGAAGTGCAAGGAGCAAGATATTATGTCCTGTGTCAAAGAACAAAGTTGGTTTCCAGCCCACTTTTTTTTTTAGACTAATAATGTATTTGTTGATTTGTTTTAGCCTGTACTTGAACTTGAGTTTTAGGCCTTGTAGCTTTGCAAGAGTAGTAAGAGCCTATCTTGCGTCACAACTTGAAAATGGTTTCCGGTCAGATTCCTTTTTTTTGGAAACTAATGATGTATTATTTTATCTGGGACTCAAAACAGAGTCCTTACCTTACCCCTTCTTATTTTGCAAGAGTACCAATGATCTACAAGTATATCAATGTCCAGCCCACAGTTTTGAAGTGTAAATTTGTAATAGCGGTTAACTTCACTCAAGGAGCATTTCTGACGCCTCTATGATACTAAGCATCACCATAGGTTTATTCAATCAGACATCCACACACTATTGCAGCAAAATACATACTTGCAAACACATTGAAAAGTAATTGCAGGAATAATATACTGGAAAGCTAGTAACAGATACAAGAAACACTTGCCTGCCAAATCAATTCTCTACTCCAAATTTTTGAAGGATCCAATGTCAATGATATACTAACTTCACTAGTTGCAACAACATCAACAGATATGCCTAACTCTTCAAAAATTGAAAAAACCTGCTTAAAGGGAAGAAAGAGGGAATGAAGCTTGGATTAACTTATAATTGAAGGTAGCTGAGTGGGCGATCTAAATGTCTCACCTTTGCAAGGAACCCAAATTGACCAAGCATACGGGTACTAACTATATCCAACATGGTGACATTCCGCTTCAAAACTATGCTGGTCAATACTGCCTGTAATAGATACAAAGAAAGGCTGTGACAGACTTCAGGTGAAAATTTTCACATTTCCAGAGAGGTTCCCACACTACTTATTTTCAATATTCAACTTTCAGCTGATACGGACCTTACTCTTATCTCTTGCTTTGCTAATGAGGGTACCTGGAGCCTTAGGGTTATAGGAATTCTTAACCCTGACTGGAATATCTCCCTCTCTAGCTGGTCTCATGGACTGTGGATGTAGAACCTGCCAATGAGTTGTAAATTGACATATATCCTTACAGGAAAGCTATAAAAACAGTTCTTGAAAATTTTAAAGTTCCTAATTCAATCAAACATTCTTCTTCACCAATGTTGTATTTCAATTTTTAATAAAGATTGTGTATATCTTACTTCATGAAAAGTGCGGTTAGATCCAGTTGGCCCTAATAAGCAAGACATCCCATGCATGTTCATCACAACAAGTTTCAGGAACCAGGCAGGTACTTGTATAATCCATGAACTGACACTAAATACCTGTGTGTGTGGAGCAACAAAATGTCTGAAAAGGAACAACATATCCTTAATTTCTAAATGTTATCCGCCAGTTATGGTCCCTCTGAAGTGGGATCACAGGGGAGAATTTGGAAACAGACCTTCCTTTTCATATTTTTGCATGAAGTGGCAGCCCTCAAAACTTGAATAAACACCTTTATGGCTAAAAGTCAAACACGTTTTTCCATTGACCTATCATACCCTTAATTCTTCTTCATGTCACTCTTCATTTGTTTAATTACTTTCTCTATAGCCTTAACAACTAAGTGAAAGCAAGATATGAAAATAAAGCCCTTCAAACAAGAAATCCAAAGGAACTCAGTATCATGGTTTCTGCCACATACCCATGCTAAAGAAGTAAACATCCTATAAGATGTGGTTCAACATATACTCCATTCTGTATTTTAAGTCCAAAAATCGAAACAGAATAAAGTAGTAGAAATCTAACCTGAGCACCAAAGTAAGCAAGCTCGGCAGCTTCTTCAAATGTCAAGTAAGGCACAGGCTCTGCATGTGGATAAATAGTAGGATCACAGGTCAAGACACCATCAACATCCTTCCACACCTGTTACAATTGTGAATTCTAACAGGTTTATAAGGATGTTACAGTTCCCAATATGCAACTGATATAACTTTTGGCATATCAAGTCTAAGTACATGCGAGTAAACACGACATGTGCAAATACGTTTTTGGAGGAACAATCTAATCTGACCTGGATCTCTTGTAAGCCTAATGCTTTACCAATGGTTGTTGCTGTCAAATCACTGCCACCCCTACCCAAGGTAGTAATTGCACCAGTTTTCCAGCCCTACCATCAGAGAAGGATATAATATTCATGAAGCCTCGCTAAAAGAATCTGATTCAAGTGGAATTCTAATGTATGGAATCTTGGGTTTTATATCTGAATACAGTAGTTAGCCAAAAAAAACCACCTTCCCAAGGAAGCCAGTTACAATAGGAATTGCAGTATCGTCAATCCAGTTGGCATGTACTGTCCTGGCAACAGCAGGATAAGTTGCTTCCAAGATGTCTGCATTTGTGAAGTCATCCGTTGTAATGAAGCCAATATCAAATGCATCATACTGCAAAAAGAAAAAAAGAAGTTGATATATACATATATATATTAACTTCAGTGAGAAAAAGGAGAGTTAAATACAGGCTATGTGATGAATTAAAAGCAAAGAAATTGTTTTTCATAAAAAAAATCATCTTCTTGATCTCAGCTGTTTCTTTACGTCATCATCATCCATCAATCAACATATATTATGCTACCACTTTTTTCTAGTAGGTTATTTTTTCTCTAAGGTGCTGTGAAAATGTGTCTTTGCGCCAGACTCAAAAACACTAACCAGACAAATAGAAGAACCAAAAAGAAAAGGTCAAATAAAATTTACATCTATTTAAAATTAAACAAGGAAATAAAATGGCTAATGCATAAATTTTACGTACTTGGTGTGCTTTGACACCAATTTTATTGAGATAAGCTGCAAAGATTCTTGTAGACATGCACTCTCCAAATGAAACTAGATAGTCTGTTGTTCGGGGAGTCAATTCTTTCATCATAGCTATGCCCTTCAGAAGTTGCTCCAGTTCTTCTAAGTGAACTGTCGGAAAAAGCGCAACCAAAATACACTCTGTTAATAAACAATTAACTCCCATTCTCTTGCACAAGATTAGAAACTTCAGTGGATTATTTTTTTTCTCTAAAAACCATTCATGTTACTGCCTGCTAATTTATGTCAAATTATATAGGAGTTCTTCATAATTAACAAGCAGGTCATGGAATGCAGAACGAAATGTCATAAATCCATTCTCAAAAGAACCGTACAAAATTAAATAACTAATAAAGCCAGAAAAGTAATCTGGTTAACCTAACAAAGTTTTAGCTCGTGAGTTAAAAAAAAAAAAGTCTCTCACCAGAAATAACAGAACTATCAACTCCAAGTTCCTCTACAGTCCTGATTGAATAAACCAAACCACGCAAACTTTAATCAGCATAAAAAACGGGGAAAAAAACGACACAAAAGGGATAGAAGAAGCTAATAAACAAACCTAAAATGCAATTCTTTTATAAAACTCAGCTCCTCAATTTCTGATGCATTAGAAACACCGCAACTCACAGCTTTCTCTCCCGCCTGAACGCACCACAAGTCAACCTTTACAATCAACATTAAGGAAGAAAAGAAGAAACAGATGAAAGGAATAATAGATTGTTGCATTATTTGTTAGTTTCTTTTACCAGCAAAAGCTTGTTAGTAGTTTTGCCCATAGCAGAGAGGACAACAATAGGCCTTTCTTCAGGGAAACTGAGAATCAAATCAGCAATTTCTCTCATTCTCTCCGCTGACGCCACCGATGATCCTCCAAATTTCATAATGCAACTAAAATTCTTCCCTTCTCCATCACGATTTCGCTTCTCTTTCTCTTTCTTCTTATCAAATACCGCTTCGATTTTGTTGCTATGGTTACTTCTCAATACTGCTCTCCTTGTTCTGCAAAAAATACCTTCAATTCCAATTCGATTGAATGAGTGTGATTGCACGTGACAGAATCGACAGATTCTGGTGAGTTCGTGGCATGGAGTCTTGATTTTATTATCTACACAGAAATGCGAAGAAGCAGCTGCCATTGATTCAATGTTTTTTAATCAGGATTGATTGATTCGTATAAGAGCGAAAAAAATTGAGAAAATTTGACGAGTCTTGCGTTCTGTATTTATGTGCTTTTCTTGCTTTTCATTCTTTCCAATTCAGTCACCGGAGCTGGAGCATGGATTCGGTTATGTTGCTGTGGGACCAGGTTAGGCTAATGGACATCGAAATGCAGTATGTGACAACCTGTCGTTCGTTTGCTTACTTTCGAAGGGCCGTTTGAAATTAGTACAGTACGTTTTTTTTCTCTGTTTAGAAAACGTCAACACAAATAACGGGTTCACAGGTTTTTTGAAAGCCGAACATAATCACGAAATCACGGTCCAATCTAAGAACGCTAAGATGAGGTAGCAATTATTACTATTTTTGTCCTACAAGGAATTTAGAGGAAACTAGTCACTTTATCAAACTACGCAACAAATCTGGTAAAAAAAATCATTTTAAAATTTTTAGAATTTTTTAATTAAAATTTTTTATTCATTTAATTTTTTTATTTTTTATTTTTTATAAATTATCTGCTTAAAAAAAAAAACAAATCATTCTTCTTTATGGATTGATTTTAAAATAAATCATAATAATTTTAACTAAAATATTAATCGAGAATTAAAAAAATTAAAATATAATTTTCATGATAGTGTATTCTAAAAATTAAAGTTATAATTAATGAATAGATTTTTACAAAAATTAACAAATGAGAAAAAAATTCTTATTTAATGTTGATGAGAACATTAATTTTTGAAATTATCTACGCAGACGTTACGAGTAGATAGAACACCTAATTAAATAAAAAAATATAAATTTATGAAAATTATAAAAAGAACACCTAAGTAAAAAAACAAATATATCATATAAATATAAAAAATATCATATATATATTATATAATAGTCAGTTTGTATAAAAAAAAAATAACGATTGATTTTTCAAACTTTTCGTACTTAATTAAATAAAAAAAGAACATAAATTGATGAAAAAAAATCAAAATTGATTTTTCAAAATACCATAAATTGATGAAAAAAACAAAGAAAAAAACCATGTGCAATGCATCGGTTAGGCGATTAAAATTTTTATTTTAAAATTTTAGAGATCAAAATAAAATAAACCTAAAATTTTTTTAAAAAAATTAAATGCAAAAAAAAAACCTAAATTGATGTTAAAAAAAAAAAGCGAAGGGGGAGAAAACATGTATAGTGAAAGTAAACTTAAAAAAAAAAACACTTGCTACAAGAATAGTGAAACCAAACTACTTAAAAAAAGAAGAAGAAAACTTGCTCGTAAAAAGTCGAAGAAAGGTTGGCGAGAGGAACAAAAAAGTTAACAATAAAGTGTTTTAGAGCCCAAAAAAAAAAAAAAAAAGTATTCATTAAACAAGTAAAATGAACAGTGAAACAACCTTCCGTTTTAGAGTATTTGTAATATTTTTTAATATATCTAACTTATATTTTTTTTATTTCTTACCTCACATTTAGAGTCTATACATATGAATTTTTTTATTAAGATCTTTATATAATTTTTCAACTTGGTTGAAAAATTATATAAAGATCTTAATAAAAAAAATTCATATATTATAGACTCTAAATGTGATTGAAACTCTTTACTCTTATAAATATATCGAGTCAAACTTTTTGTTAAATATACATACTACGTTACATGTTAAAAATGAGAGTAACCAAACAAGTTAAGACATGTGGCATTGTCGATCCCATTTGTAAAGAAAATTAGTCCAAAAAAATCCATAATAAAAAAATATATTAATAAACTAATATATAGTATATAAAAATATAAATAAAAAGATGAAAACACCATCGCTCTTATTATGCCTTCATCTTCTTAAATCTCTTTCATTTTCACATTCTTATTCCGCAATCGATTCTTTTATTCTCCTCATGTCAAGATCTCAAAATTTCAAAACCACTTAAATCTCTTTTAACTCAAACACAAATCGTGTTTATTCTCAAATCTAAATCCCTAAAATTCAAAAATCCAATAATTCCAAAATGTAAAATCCTTCATTTCAATCTTATTCATATTTTTTCATCCTCCTTTTGCAATAACACCTAGATGTTAAATTTAATGTTTGCCCACTTTGATTCAATGCAAAAGAAAGACAAGACGTTGCTTGTAACTTTAAAATGTGGTTTAAGAATGATTTAGATGACAGAGCAAAAGAGATTGTTTTGGACACGTAAAATTAGCAAAAAGAAATACATGCAATAAATTGTAGGTTAGTGTAAGAGAATTTGAGATTGAATAAAGTGATTTCTAAGTGAGAATTCCTACAATAAAGAATTGTTGATTGAACTCGGAAACTATAAGAATTAAGAATAATGCTTAAAATAAAAAAAAAAACAAGAGGAAAATGTAAGAAAATCTAAAGGAGCAAGAAAAAGCGAACGCAGGCAAGTGGAAATTGAAGAATGAATTGCTTGCTTTTATTTGAGTCATATAACATACTACATCCGATATTGAATTTATAGTAATAAAAATAATAAACTAGTTAAAATTTCTCCAACAAATCGGTAGAAATTCCTACCGATACCGAACCGATTTTGACCCAAATAATAGGAACGGAAATTGACTAAGTAAGCGCTAACTTTTGACACTCCTCTTTAGTGCATACTTATGATCGGTTGCTCCAATAAGCATCTCCGAAACTCTCAAACTTGGCCTTAGTTAAAGCCTTTATAAATATGTCTACTTGTTTGATTACTAGTGCAAACTCCCTTCAACTCAATTTCTTGGCTTAATGCTTTTTCTCGAACAAAATGATGATGAACTTCAATGTGCTTTGTTCGTCCATGAAAAACTGGATTTGAAGCAAGCTTGATGGCACGTTCATTATCACAATGAATCCGCACGGGATAGTCAACTTTGCCGGTGATGTCTCTAATTAATCGCTTCAACCAAATACATTATTGTGCTTGCCTTTGTTCGTCGCTGCATACTCGCTTCGATACTTGACAAAGCAACGAGTAGATTGCTTCGTCTGCACCAGGACACCATAGCTGAACCAAGGTTGAAACAATAGCCTAAAGTTGAGCTACGATCATTCAAATCTCTAGCCCGATCTGCATCGGTGAAACCACTCAACACAAAATTATTACCTCTTTCATATAAAAGTCCATATCCAAGAGTTCCCTTTACATAACGCGAACTCTTTTTACAAGCATCTAGGTAAGGAGTTCTTGGTTGTTGCATGAACCGAGAAATAAGACCAATAAAATATACAATCTATGGTCTTGTGATAGTTAGATAAAGTAAACTCCCAACAAGTCGACGAAAATTTTTAGTATCTTTCAATGGCTTCCCTTCCTCTTTCTTCAACTTGAGATATGGCTCTATAGGAGTAGCCATTTCTTTTGATTCCCCCATGCCAAAATGATCCGAAGACTTTTTACATAGCTTCTTTGAGATACAAAATATCCCTAATTAGATTTTTTCACTTCTAAACCAAGAAACCGTCTAACCTCACCCAAATTTTTCATTTCAAAACGAATTGACAAATCATCCCTTAGGTGAGAAATTTCAGCTTTGTTATCTCCTGTGATTATCATGTCATCCAAATACAATAAAACTAGCACATGCATCTTTGAACTCAATTTCACAAACAAACTAGGATCCGGATCCGAAACTTTGAATCCATAAAAGATAAAGTATTGAGCGGATTTACCATACCAAGCACGCGGTGCTTGTTTTAAGCCGTATAATGCTTTTTTCAAGCGACAAATGTGATGAGGAAATTTCTTTGAGATGAATCCTTGTGGTCGCTCCATGAATACTTCATGATTCAGCTCCCCATAAAAAAAAAAAAAGCATTCTTCACATCAAGTTGCCACGACTTTCATCTTTTGAAGGCGACGAAGAGAAAAATTGATCTCACGATCACCATTTTAGCTACGGGATCGAAAGTTTCCTCATAGTCTAGTCCATAACATTGAGAAAAACCACGAGCAACCAAACGAGCTTTACACTCGTCAACCGTGCCATCTCGCTTTCTTCTTTAGTCGATAAACTCACTTGCAAGTGGTCGGCTCATAATTTTTTGGTATTTACACTAATTCTCACGTCTCATTTTTATGCGAGGCATCAATTTCTTCTTGCATAGCGGCTTCCCGGTTTGAACAACCATTGGCTTTCTCGAACCATGTTGGCTCATCAATAATTTCCCCAGTAAGGAAGCATGATGCCACTTGTGAATTGATTTATTTTAACTTCATAGTCCTTTAAATGTCTTGGTGGTGTTCTTATCCTTGTTGACTTCCTTATTATCCGTTGAATTTCAGCGGAATTAGAGTCACGCTCTGCTAGAAGTGTAGATCATCATTAGTGTCTTGAGATGCCTCCATAGTGTTTTAAGAAAACAACTCCATCAAGCAATCTTGATCATCATCAAGAATAGTATTTTCAATGCTTGAATTTCGACCGAATGTAATTTTGACACTTCGTCGAATACCACATCTTGAGACGTAACAAATCTCTTCGTCTTCGGGTCCTTACACCTCCAACCTTTCCTACAAATGTCATAGCCAACAAATACACATTTCTTTTCTTTCGAGTCAAGTTTGGTTCGATTAGATTTAGGAACATGAACATAACAAATAGAACCAAACACCCGAAAGTAATTTACATTTGGCTTTATATCATATATCAATTCAAAAGGATACTTTTCTTTACATAGCCATGGAGGTAACCTAGGTTGATTACATAGCATGCAAAGTGAAAAGCTTACGCAAGAGCCTTCGAGGAAGGTTCTCATCATGTAGCCATGAAAGAGTTATTGAAGTGAGATGGGCTAACTTCCTTTTATGCAACCCCATTTTGTCGAGGGGTATCGGGACATGTCATTTGTCATTTGATGCCATGTTTGTCACAATATTGAAAGAAATCATATGACATGTATTCACCTCCATTGTCACTTCTCAAGCACTTGATTTAGGTTCTAAGCTCCTTCTCCACAACATTTTTGAATTCATCAAACTTAGACAAGGCTTGAGTCTTCTCTTTCAAGAAATACAACCATGTGTACCGGAATAATCATCCACCAACACCATAGCATAACGTCATCCGCTGTAGCTTGGTGTTCTTGTTGGTCTTATCAAGTCCGTATGAATCAATTCGAGTGGCCTTAACCTTTGGTTTGATGACCTTGTGAAAGGTAGACGATGTGATTTGTCAAATTGATAACCTTGACATATCATATTTTCATATACATTTTACGAGTGGGAATGGCTTCCAACGAGCTTCTTTGAAGAGATTTTTCGTAACATTTGGTAACCTAAGTGGCCAAGTCGAGCATGCTAAATTGCTGCATTATCAATTTGACTTATCTTCTTTACATATGCCTCCCCTACCGACATAACAAACAAGGATCCTTTCTTTTCACTAACAACAACAACATCAACTGCTATTTGATTCACATTATCACGCACTTTTACATCATTTGGACCAAATAAGACATACTTTCCAGAATCGGTAATTTGAGAAACTGAAACTAAATTTTGCTTCAAACCCGGAACATGATAAACATCATTGAGCTTGATACCACTACCCTCGGCATCATCATCAATTTTCGCAATGCCCTTCATCATCACCGGATGAGTTGAATTATCAGCGAGTGACTATTACTCGTTCTTCATTATGTTGTCTTAGATCCGAAAGTAATGATGCATTCCCGATAACATAGTGTGAGCAACCGAGTCGATGATCCATTCCTCTTTGACGGAGTTGACATGAACTTTAGAATCATCTCTTCCTTCAACTACTTTAGTTGTAAAACATTGCTCCCATTTAGGATGATTATCTCCTTCATCTTCACACGCAGACATTAGCTTTGGAAAGCTTTACCCGATAATTTTTCTTTATATGTTCGATCTTTTCGCAACGATAACACTTGATGGAGCTATTGCGTTGAAAGCTACATCCATTTCCCTTCTTTGTGCTTGAGCCTTTCTCACCATCGGCATTGCTTGGTCAATGTCTTTTTTCCTTGTGCTTTCCTTTTGAGTAAAGAACGACGATTAGGTTCGACTTCAAGGTTTTAGTCATTTGTTTAGCCAAAACCTCCCGATTAGAGAGTAAATTCCTTAAATCTTAAAGCGAGGGTTAATTCGGCCATCCCCGAATAGAAGTAATAAAAGGCGTATACTCTTTCTTCGAGCCTCGAATGAGAAACCGTCGCGGACGAGCTTCACCGATCTTTTCATCCGAATCCAATTCTGAAATTTTAGCATAAATATTCTTAACTTGTAAGAAATATTCTGAAATTGACATACCTTTATGTGTCAAAATTGCCAATTCATTTTTCGAAGTTACAATCTTGCTGTATTCTTCTTGGTAAAGATCCTCTCGAGAGTCTCCCATACTTGTTTTGGAGAATTTGCATCATGAATATGATCGATATGATCTTTGCTAACCGATGTCCTTAAGGCAAAAAGAGCCTCTCCATACTTGATCTTCCATTTCCTTCGTGGTTCGACATTTTTCGAAGTGTCTGCTGGAATTTCGTATCGACATTAGCAACTAACTCCCACAAGTCTTGACCTTGGAGATAAACCTCCATACATATTCTCCAATACCGTTAGTTTATCCCAATAAGCTTCTCAACACCATTTTGTGTGAAGAAGAAGAACCCCCATTGCCCAACTCCATAATGTAGAATAAGAAACCTCATGCAGCAGATTCCAATCTTTTCCAACAAGACCACTTGATAGACAAGAAGACCGAAAAAAACAAAAAACCTCGGTGAGGCTCGATACCATGTAACAAAATCTAAACGAGCGAAGAAGCGAGAATAGAGGCAAGGAAAATTGAAGAATGAATTGCTTGCTTTTATTTGAGACATATAATAGACTACATCCGATATCGAATTTATAGTAATAAAATTAACAAACTAGTTAAAACTTCTTCAACACATCGATAAAATTCCTACCGATATCGAACCGATTTTGACCCAAATAATAGGAACCGAAATTGAATAAGTAAGCACTAAATTTTGGCAAAAAAAGAGTTACAACAACCGGAGATTGAAGATTTGAAGTTGATTTGTGCTTGAATTAGTTTTATTTAGGCATAAAATATGTGTTATTCTTAAATGTTTTTGTATGATATTTTTCATTTTTTTTTTGTAATGATATGGGTTTGAAAGAGGTTGGACAATCTTGTTGAAAACACATCATTCTTAATTTCTAGATTAGAAAAAACATTCCCCGTAAACATCATCATGTAATTCAATATTTTGCTTAATCTAAGCTATGTGTGATGTTGGTTTTGTGTAACTTTTATTCCGTGAATCTTGTATGCTTTGGATTGTCTAAAAAGTTATGAACCTTTTGTTGGTCGAGAGGTATGTCTATTATAATGACTCGAATTATCATGAACCTTCACCCAACTTGATTCATCTAACATTATTTCTCAACCTTCAAATATCAATTGCATAAATTACATTAGAGCAAAATCTTATAAATGAATAATTCAACAATGCCGAAACCAACACGAATCTTTAGTAACCACTTGTTCACCTTGCTAAAATGTTGTTTATAGAAAAAACATTCCAACATGATTAACCATCCATTGCCCACTTTATATAATCTATCAAAAAGAAGAATTCTCACACATGCCATCCTCTTAAACTCCCACATACAAAAACCATAAAAACCAAAACATAATAAACCATTTTTCAAAAGCAAAGAAAACTACATTTCAAGTCAAATCATCACCCTCTTTATCCTTTTAAGAACACATATTATCAATGCATAAAAATTCCATTTACATCTACAGGCTCCTTACAATGTCCAAACAAAAAAAGACCAAATAATTAATTCAACTTTCAGCCAAAGCTTGGCAAAGTACAAGCACATGTGGAATGAAAAAAAAAACCCTATAAAGTATGAACAAACAAGACATATAATGATTCACAACTCCATGAAAATATCTAACAAGTCTAAGTAATTATCCTCCAATGTAACTCAACAATCATAAGTTTTAGTATTTCTATAAAAACCCATTTCAAAATATTATTTTAAGCTGAGTAGTTGACTTGAAAAATTTCACAACATATCATTGCAATAACTCAACGTCTACATCCATAACAAATTTACTACTCAAAATCCCAAGTTATATATTCCTATAATAAAATCTACTATCTGCATTACATTATATGAATCAAAATTCATCATAAAACATCATTTTTTCGAACCGTGAGCACCATCACTTTGTTTTAGAATTTGTGATCTCGTTAACCTCTTGACATTCAAAACATTTGAGTTTGGTTTCTTTTTCTTAGAACACCGATGACTTTCTTTGAGACAATAGTGTCATATCTATAAAAATCAGATTCGACAACAAAATATCTAACTCTAGTTAGAGGTATTTTTCCTTGTTTCTTTGTTGCAAGCACACCATTTTTTCTTTGTTATAGTAACATCGGTCTTCTCCTTGCCCTTATTACTCCTTAGACTTCAACCATCATTATCATCCTTTTCTTGACCTTCGTTAACAACAATATAATTTTCCATATTACTTTTCACAACAGCGAAGGTGAGCGTTTTATGACTTCTCGGACTTGGACCATCTTCATATATTTTCACAAGTAGCAACCTTCTCTTTGCCTATATTACTCATCATTGGACTAATAACTTCATTTTTTTCTTCACATGAGAAGATGTAGCTCGAACTTTCTTTTTAGCCTTTCTTTGAATACACAAATGACTATAAAAGATTATATATCTAACAAGCAAATATAAAAATATATCAAAAAAAATTAAACAATAAAGAGTGTGTACTTGACAAGTTGAAATTGGTTTAACTACAATAAAAAAAAAAAGGTCTTAAGCAACTTCAATAGGGCCATGTTCAACCACGAGCATCGGTTGGGCCATGAGGTATAGATCCAATACTAGAAACATCATGTGAACATAATTGAATCAACTTTAATACATCACGTGATCGATAAAACTTAAAAAACATAATAGATAAAAAAATTAAAAAAAAAGCCTTTTTATTCTTAGTATTATCAAGGCATGTCAATCGTTATGTCCTTTCTTAAAAAAAATTTTACAAGTCATCTTCTTTTCTCTTTTGGACATGTTAATTCCATTTGATAATTCTCATGATTCTAAAATTCTCTTCTTCTTCTTTCTTCCAGTGCAGTTTGATAATATTAGGGGCCAAGGCCTCTAGTTTTTCTATTCTAGGCCAATACTTCTCATCATTGATAGGTTTTATTGAATTTTTATATGCATTGACGGATATATCTTTTCCATACCAATGGAAAACATATTTATTTATTTAATTATCACTTTTTAACAACACAAACAACTATAACATGAACATGGCAAACTAGTCATTTCAAATGGCAAACTAGTCATTTCAAATAACCTACACGTGCATAATTTTTTCTCCATATGTAATATATATTTATCATTGTAATTGTAAATGTTAACGACCTCATACCCATCATCACCATTATGCAACACCTTAAATTTTTTACTATTTTTTTTTGTATTCTTTTATTTTTTTCTCAAATCTTAGTCCCAAATCTTCTTAAACCTAGCTACAAACATTCTCTTAGCAACTATTCTTTTGACTACAAGATGCCTAATATTCTTCAATAATATGACAATACTCTTATGTCTAACTTCTAAAATAAAACCATTTCAAGTTTCATATAAATTATTATCAACTATATTAGATTTAATATGAGTTTTATAGTATGCCTTACACCATTTTAGGAGGCACTCTTTCATGAAGTCTTCTAATGCTACTTAGCTATATACCCTAGCTACTTAAGATTTTCTTTTAAATTTGAAACCGTGCTTAATTTTACTTATATCTAGAATTACTTCTCAACATCTTTTCTACTATATGCCTTCCTCCATTTTACAAAAATACGTCCGGCACACCACCTATGTTCTACTCTAAAAACCAAATCATGTAGAACAACACATAATCCCCGACGTAATAATAAATCATTAGAATAATTGAATTATATGATATTAAAATATAAATTTATTAAAGCATATTTAGTTATCTTTTGCTTATTGGTTGTGAAAGTCCATCCATATCCATTACCATATGGAATTCCAACATCTTCCATCAATAAACCGATAAACCACAATCAAATTTTCTTATTTTTTCACTTCACAATAGCCCAACATAATGGATACATCTAATTATTTGTATTCCTACTAACGACTTACAAAACTTTCCCTTTCAATGGACACTTCAAGAATGCACCATCTAATCCTATAATTGGCCTACACCCAACTTTGAAACCTTCTTTGATAGCATGAAAATAACATATATTCTTTTGAACCTATTTCCACATTCCTCATCTTCTCGTTGTTTAAAAATTGACGATATTATTAGCAGTATATCTCCTCAATTCGATTGCATAATCTTCAAGCCTTCTAAACTCATTCTACACATCTCTAGAATACATTAGATTCATTAAATTCTTTGCATGTTTGGCTTGTGAAATTGTAATTTTCACTTTTAGATCTATCATAATGTCTTGTATAATTTCATGTAATTGCTTATTCAATGTAGTTCTTCCCGACTTTTTTTCATAAAATGCTCTATAAGTATCTTGTAATTAGAATTTGTGAAAGACCAATCATATGTATGCCTATCACAATAGGTTTTCGCCATCTATTTTTTAGTTTTCCCATTAATAAAAATCGGTAACTTTCAAGGATAATTTCTATTTTTACAAATCGTCCAATATCAATAACTCGTCATTCTTAACAAGCTTTAAATCTCTCTTACTATGAATGAAATGCTTAATCACGACAGATCTCATTTTCTTTTCATTCTCAAAAATCATGCAAAGTTGAAAATGAGGAAAATCAATTGTTAGGTCATACCCGACTAATGCGGTTTTATTCCTTATTTGAGACTATTCATCATCATTGAAGATGTATTTCTTTCTTTCTCTTAAATTACAATATATCTCATTCAATTAAGTTTCTAGTTTTGCCAACTCTTTTATTAATTTTCTTCTCTCATCAAAATTATTTAATGAGAAAGAATTACGTTAGTGTTGGAGATATTTTTTAAATAAATTACTCATCTTTTAAAAATGATAACTAATTTGTTATGTTAAACTTTTAAAAATGGCTAAAATTGTAAAGTATTTTGTGGATTTTAGGAAAAAAAAAACCCTTTTATATTATTTTTTTATTTTGTTTGTAAAATAATAAGATTTTTTTGAATTTGTCTACTCTTTTAAGATTTTATTGAAAATTGATAGAAAAACCTAAAAAATCCTCGGTTTTTTTTTTTCCTAACTTGTAAACATGATTTTCTAGGTTGTTAGATTGATAGAGAAAAGGCAGGGATTGGGAGTATTTTTACAAGTTTTTCCGTCAATTTCTCAACAGAATTCTACAAACAAAGAAGAGAGAGAGAGAGAATTCATAAAATTATATTATTTTAGAAGAAAAAAAATAAAATAAACTAATTCAAAAGAGTATATACTTTTTCGTTCAAGTTCAGTAGCCCATTTTACAGTTTAGCCTATAAACAATGGCGTCTGGAACTTGGTTGACTGAATTTTATTCTCAATTGGCCTCTCTCTAAAAATTCTCTCCCAAATCCATAGTTCTTTCAACAGGAATTTGATCAGATAATAACCATTTTGAGTTTTTTTTATATTTTTTTTAAATTTGCATCTTGTTCGCTGATTTCTTCTGATCCCGGCGGATCCACTTCTGGTCGATTCTCCAATGGGATGTCTGGGCGGCATAGTGACGCCATTATCCATTAAAAAAGAAATCAAACCTGTTTTTCTTTTTAATGGTGATGGTAAGAAGGTTGTTAAATGTTTTTTTTTTTATCTAAGCTGTGTCGGCGAAGTTTGTGAAATCGGAGATGGTGCTTTTCCGGCTAGACGAGAATGCGTCTTAAGTGCTGCAACTTTTAAGCGGGGTGACATGTGACAGTTACGGGTTTGAAGGATGGGCTTGAACGTCAGCTGAATAATGGGCTTAATTGGTCTGGGCATTCACAAAGCCCAACTAATATGTGTAAGACTGATGTGAATCAAGGTCCAGTCAGTGGTATTAAATTCTCCTGGGAAAATATTGCACTATAGTTCTACTGAGAAACTATTGAACTGAAATGCAAATTGTCGTTCATTACGGTGTTGATACATAAACTATAGTCGTTTTATTTCTTCTAAGCTATGAAACATAGATACTGAATATGGATACGACACGATATAGATATAAGAATATAATAATTAAAAAAAATTAATATACGATATGTGAAGGATAAGTTAATTTTTTATTATGCAAAAAGTTTATTATAAAAGTGAATAAAAATCAGTGGTGAAAATTAATATAATTAATTATATATAATAATATATGAACGTATAAATAGATTTCAAGTTATTTATATTTTATTTATAGTTATAAATAATTTGGATTTTTAAAAATTAATTTATTTTGAAAAAAATTATAATAATAAGCTTTATAATTATAAATAAAACTTGGATGTCTAAAATTAATTTATCTTAAAAAAGATTATGATACCAATTATGATAGGGTCAATTACAATATCATTTTTTCATTTTCAAACCTAATTAGTGCTACTCATCTTGTTTTGATTTGTCATTTATATGGAAAAAAATAGATAATTTTTTAATCTACAGATAATGATGTCATATCTTATTATAAAATTTTATAATTATGATGCATTCATCTTTACATAAAATAAATCCTATATTTATGATCATGACATCAATTCTCATTATTTTAAAAATTTAAAAATTAGAAATAATTAATTAAAAATGTGGAAGTAAGGTTATGTTTAATTAAATGCTTGTTTGTTTGTTTTTTTTTTAAAAAAAAAACTTGTAAAACTTAGAAAGGTATTTGAGTTTTTTTTTTTTTCAAAAAATGGTAAATTTAACATAAAAGAGTATCCCTTATTTATCCCTTCAGTATCCTAACTGTATTCTTCACGTATCTAAATTTGATTATTTATTATTTTGTCACATTCCCATGCGTCCGTTCTGTATGGAGCCATATTCTATAAGTATCCGTATCTGATACGTGTACAACATGAATATAGCCTTTTTTTATTTTTTGGGTTTGGTTTGGAGTATCGGTGGTTCCTAGCTTCTCAGTCACCGCTTATTTTATGGAGGAAGAGGATGTGTCGTTTGCATGCATACAAATACAACCTGTCTGGCTGTTAACGAGTGTTCTTCACATATTTATACTGTACAAAAATTCAAAGTTCTTGCACGTTCCATGTATTCAATGAATGTCCACTCCTGCTTTTCAGTGCCATCTCTCAATCCTTCGCCAGTAATAATAGCTCATGACAAGACTCCACCAAACATGAAAGCTGCAGCAAACTTTTTTACTCAAATACCTTCGTGGGTCTCTCTAAAATCAACTCCTCCTTCACCTGAAACACAAGAAAATAATAACAAAGCCCAAATTGAGAGTATCCACTTGATTTCTCTATCTAAACAAGGGAAGCTGAAGGAAGCTCGTGAATTTCTCAAACAAATGGAGGACGCTGGTATTTCCGTTAGCCCTCGTTCTTATCGATGCTTGTTTGAAGCGTGTAGAAAGTCTAAATCTTTATTGGATGGGAGATTGATTCATGAATTAGTGCAAAGAACAATGAAAAGCCCATCTGTGTTTTTCGAGAATTCATTGCTTTGGATGTTTTGCGAGTGTGGAAGCCTAGTTGAGGCACATAAGGTGTTTGATAAAATGCGCGAGAGGGATTTGTTTTCTTGGAATACAATTATATCAGCTTATGCAGAAAACGGTGTTTTTGATAAAGCTATTTGCTTGTTTTCGAATATGCTTGAATTGGAAACAAAACCGAATGGGTCCACTTGTATTGGGCTTTTACGGTCTTTGTTAGATCCTTCCTGTTTAGAGATTGGTAAACAGATACATTCTCATGCCATAAGAAGTGGGTTAGGCAGTAATGCTTCAGTTAACACAGCAATCAGCAATATGTACGTGAAATGTGGTTGGTTAGAGGGAGCTGAACTTGTTTTTGAGAAAATGAGTGAAAAGAATGCAGTAACTTGGACTGGAATAATGGTGGGGTACACTCAAGCTGAGAGGCAAAGGGATGCTTTGGCTTTGTTTGCTAAGATGGTCAATCAAGGTGTTGAAATGGATGAGTATGTGTTCTCCATTGTTCTCAAAGCGTGTGCGGGTTTAAAGGAGTTGAATTTTGGGAGGCAAATTCATTGTCATATTGTTAAACTTGGGTTGGAATCTGAAGTTTCTGTGGGAACTCCTCTTGTGGACTTTTATGTTAAATGTTCTAGTTTGGAATCTGCGTCTAAAGCATTTGAGTGGATCAGTGAACCAAATGATGTTTCTTGGAGTGCTTTGATAACTGGTTATTGCCAAATGGGTGAATTCGAGGAAGCTCTTAAAACTTTTGAATCATTGAGGAGTAGAAGTGTGGATATAAATTCATTCACATATACAAGCATTTTCCAAGCATGCTCTGCACTTGCTGATTTCAGCAGTGGTGCCCAAGCTCATGCAGATGCGATAAAAAGCTGTCTGGTTGCATATCAACATGGAGAGAGTGCAATGATTACCATGTATTCAAGATGTGGCAGATTAGATTATGCCACTCGAGTCTTTGAATCGTTGGACGAACCTGATGCAGTGGCTTGGACTGCTATAATTGCTGGTTATGCTTATCAGGGTAATGCTCCTGAAGCTCTAAAGCTTTTCAGAAGGATGCAGGACTGTGGTGTTAGACCAAATGCAGTTACATTTATTGCAGTTCTAACTGCTTGTAGTCATTCGGGTTTGGTCATAGAGGGCAGACAGTATTTGGAATCGATGAGTAGCAAGTACGGTGTTGACCCAACTATCGATCATTATGATTGTATGGTTGATATATATTCCAGAGCTGGTTTTCTGAAGGAAGCACTTGAGCTAATAAGCAGCATGCCATTTTCACCAGATGCAATGAGTTGGAAATGTTTGTTGGGTGGGTGCTGGACCTATAGGAATCTTGAGATTGGGGAACTTGCAGCTGAAAACCTGTTTCAGCTGGACCCAGAGGATACTGCAGGTTATATTCTCATGTTTAACCTGTATGCTTCATTTGGGCAATGGAAAGAAGCAGCTAATGTTAGAAAGATGATGACAGAAAGAAATATGAGGAAGGAGCTTAGCTGCAGCTGGATTACTGTCAAGGGCAAAGTGCACCGGTTTATAGTTGGTGATAAGCACCATCCTCAGACGGAAGAGATATATGCAAAGTTGGAAGCATTGAATAATTCTGACATAAAAGATGAAACTGGCCTTTTAACAGAAGAAGATGCATCAAATAGTTTGCCAGAGAGGAAAGAACAGCTTCTTGTCCATAGTGAGAGACTTGCAGTAGCATTTGGGCTCATATCTACACCTAGCAGTGTTCCTGTTGTTGTTTTCAAGAACCTTAGGGCTTGCAAGGACTGCCATGATTTTGGCAAACAGGTATCCTTGATCACAGGACGTGAAATCGTTGTTAGAGATTCTTTCAGATTCCATCACTTCAAGTTAGGGGAGTGTTCTTGCAATGACTATTGGTGATCCTACACAACATTGCATTACAACAGATTCTATGGTCTTATGAAGTAAAGCGTGACTAATAACAGTTTCTACTATGGTGCCCTCAGAGCAGTTTGGATCATAGTCTCATAGGTACTGAAGATGTGACATAGAATGTCATGGAGAGTTTAGGTAAGTGGGACAGAGGCTGTTGACATGGAAGCACGCGTGACTTGCTTGACAAGATCTGTTACCACACGAATATTGTTATGCAGAACAGGAAGCCCTGTGATTGCTTGCAAGTGCGTGATGAACCAATCATGGTATGACCATAGTATAGTTTATCAAGCTAGGTCATCAGTGGCAGATTGGTGCACCCCCAAATGATGATAGGAAATTTTGTAGAGTACTGTACTGCTTTATTATTTGGTGGGGCTACAAAGTACGAATGTACATGTAAAGGTTAGGCTTTGTGACCTGCCACGTTGAGGGTATCGAACCCAAGGAAAGCTGCAAATCTAGGGGATTTTCTGTGCATGATTGCGATAGCTTATCTTATGTGTGATTATGCTTTTTCGGGGGTCCATGCCAGCGTGTGATGCTGTAGATAGGAAACTTCCTTATGGTTCCTTTGACAACTTGATTAATTGTTTAATCAAGATGGGGAAAAAATGTGGTGAGAGGTATATTTATTTATTCTCCCTACCATTTGTATTGTATTGTGGTTGAAATGCTTTTCAAATTGTATTTGATTTGGAATTGATGCCTTTTAAGATTTGACGATGTTAAAGCTATATATATATCACATATATAAACATCAAGTTGGTGATTAACATTCTGAAAATATATTTTCAACTACAGTACCCAGCATATACTTTATTTATCAGCAAAAAAAAAAAAAAAAAAAAAACAACTTTTTACCATTCCATTCTCCCGGGCTAGTTGCACTTCTTATTCAAGAAAGGTCAATAAAGGTGGAGCCTCTCCCTCTCTCTCACTCACACGTGCAAATTCGCTTAGAGATACTTTTACCAACTTTCACAAGGTAAAATAATAATAATAATAATTCTTTCGCCAATCGGTTACCAAGTAAATCTTCGATATTGAAACTGATGCATTCTCAAAAGTTCACTTGTAATTAAAATTAATTGACAGTTGCCGAGTAAAAGATTGTGTTGCAACATACAATGTTTTGTTGAGGGAAACATAATAGATTAATCATTCAAATAATTTTATTTTGGGACAATGCTAAAACCTAATAGAAATGGCAAGTAACATGAAGAGGTAATTGAACTTTAGTGCGTGCAAGGGAAGGTACGACCGTGACGAGACCTCAATAATTGAGTTTGTTAGGTGAATTGGCTTTTATGGTATAATTAATAACCGTGGATCAAAGTTTCAATGTTTCAATTATAATAGATAGCGTACCAACTTCTTTAAATAACGTAACATAGATACGTTGTAATTTATTTTTATATATTAATTAAGAAGGATATTACAATTTTCAATGATTGGAATAAAATAATAAAATGAAGGAAGATACATGCATGAAGCCAAAGGGTTGCGTCATTATACGGTGTAAGCAATAAAAGAAACAAAGTTATTGGATCTAGAAAAGAAGAGAACACCATAAGTAAAAGAAGAGGCAACTAGTGGTTTGAGTTAAAACTTAGGAACAGGGACAGATGAGGCATGGTATTGTTAAACTCAGTTGGCGCCAAAAAGCTCATTATTAATGAATGGATAAAATCCTATCCACTTCTTCTCCAGCTGCTGATTGCTTACCTCATGCTCTATCTTTCTCTTCTTAAAGTTTGTGAGACACACTCTTCTCACACACAAACTGCACTGAAATAGCGACCTTTCTGTAAGCTGGACCCTTTCTTTCTTCTTCTTCACTCACTCAACACTTCATCAAGCAAAGGGAACGGGAAGGTGGGTTTTACTTGCTCTGTGTTTCTTCAGTCTCTTCTCTCTCTTTTTCTTTTTCAAAAAAAATAATTTAGTATGCAATTTTTTTTTTCAGTTTTATTTATTTATTTATTAGTGGCATGTAGCATCTCTGCATGTTATTTTACTGAGTTGCTAATGTTGAAACATCAGTGTATCTGTCAAATTTGAATTAATTTCGTGAATTGTCATGAAATATGGAGGGCGATAAAAGTTGAATATGAAAAACAAATGCCATTTAAACAAGGTGGAAAGGTTCAGCTCTGCTTGAGTATGTTCATCGAGGCCTATTTTGTCCAAAAAGTCAAGTATCTTTAATTGACCAGAACTTGAATTTAATTTCATAGAAGTCTCTTCAAGTATGTTCATTTGGACAGTTTGCATGTCTGTGCTGTGCCGGCCATGTATCTAAAGATTTATCTTCGATAATTGTAGACACTCAGGACAATGCGGTCCTATTTCAATTCAGAAATTTTTTTTATGGTTATTAAAATTTCATTTCAATCAAACAGAAGAGTACAACTTTGTTGCATTTCATTAGACATATTTTTCATCCAGTTCAATTAAACTATTGGAATCTCCAAATCTTGGGTTGCTTTAGCCTATCTGAAGTCATGGAAGTTGCAGAAACAAAATGTTCCTCAGGCTATGGCAAGCCTCCTTGGATATTTAAAGGCAGGCACGTGTCCCAAGAGTCTTAATTTAGTGTTTGTTTATGTTTATTTATGTGATCATTAAGACTGGAATGACCATACATCATTCCCATTCGTGATTATTTTTTAATGATCTGATTCCCATTTCAGTGCTTTGTACCAGCTTCATCTTGTTAAAGCCGAAACTGCTCGAGCATTCATTCCAAAAGAATTCAGATTAGTTGAAGCATTTGGGTAATGTTTGTTTGGACTTTAAAAGACATGGGTGGGATTCAGTATCTCCAATTTTCACTGCTAATTCACATTTCTGCGCTGCAGATACACTCTTGGAGGTTTTTTCCTTGCTAGCTACGAAGACAGTCCAGCTGGGGTTTTTGATGAGGTTCTATGCTCTTTGCAATAATTGTTTGTGTTAGAAACTTTTTTGAATTGTTTTTATGGCCATACATTTATTCTATGACATGCCTTAATTAGCTAAAAGGAAAAAGTAGTACGCATGTAGTTGATTCATTATGCACGCGCAGAAATGACAGCAATTTTTCTTTTGCCCTTTTTTTTTTTTTTTGCTTTTTTGTCTTTTCTTGCCCCCTTTCTGCAGCTTGTGGTGATTGCAGGAATAGTGTGGAACCCCCCAACATCTTGTGCGTAAGTTCAACATTAACATCCTATCTGTTCTTGTTTATAGTAAGGAATCGTAAATGATTGTGGACAGGGAATCTTTTTTTTTTTTGTTAGAAAAAATTAGGAAGGCCTAGAGCAGATGAATCTTGATTTGGGTTTGTCCATCTCAGTTCCACAAAGGCAATCATTTCAACCTTTTTTAGCTATATAGGGCCAGCCAACTTTGAAACGTGCATGTCCCTTCCAATGCATTAACAATAATTCTTAAGAGGAATTAACAAAAGGCATCATTATTGTTGTATATTTTTTCTTTAAGTGGCCTAAGCAACGGGTCAAGTTGCTGTGCTCTGAGTTTCAGATAGCAATTCAAAGAAACAAAACAGAGACATGTTTTTCAAGCTGAACCAAGTCACATGGTTTTGGACACAGTGGCCTAAAGACTATTCAAAATGTTAGCAGTTTGCTTTTCCCAGGATAGTCTTTGATATTATATCTTGGAAGCTATCAAGGCAATTTGAAACTTTCTAGTAGCCTTGTTTTTCTTGTTTCGACAGATGGGCAGCCAGGGTGCTTGTCAACAGTGGTGATGCTTGTGATCATGGACGAAAGGTGGGAGTTCAACAAATCTCTTCTACAATTCTGAATTTTAACCTTTTAAATTTAAATGAGTTCCATTAAGGTGTGGCCTTATGGTTTGAATAGTTTAAAAAAGATGCTGATCTCTATTTACTAAAGCAAAAATGGTATAAAATTTGGAGAAAATTGCGTTGAGAGCATCTACACATCCTTTTGAAGCCAAATGAACCCAAATTGTATGCAGGATAGGTATTCGGATGCAAATTGATCTTTCTTTTTCTTTATTTTTTTTGTTAACACTTCCTAGATAAAACTTAGCAGCTTGCATACTCCCCATGACTATAACTGATGCAGCTCTGATGAGTTGACATTGGGACATTATGCATGGTTATGATGCTTCTTTTCCACTTAGCTGGAAGAAATTGAAAGGAACTTTCATCATATTTCTGATCTTTCTTTCACGTTCTCTTGCAGGAAGTAGGGCTTCCCAGTCAAGTTGCCAAGTTTTCCAAGGTAATTCTTGTTCTGTGTACATATTTTTGCAACTGAACTTCCATTTTCAACGTAAAAGAATTAAAGAAAATTACAAAAATTTGGTCCTTTCTCTAGTAAATCTTATTCCATTTTTTTTTTAAAAAAAAATCCTTCCTGGGCATGTAGAAATTTTCAAAATTTTGAACATTTGATTGCTCTGCACTAATCTTCCAGTGTATATGCTAGTTTATGACAGTGAACTATACTTGAAATAGTGCTCCATTTAACTCTATTTGCTTAGGATTGTGCTATCCCCCAGTGTAGGGAAAGCATTCAGTTGTGCCACAAACTATGTTCTATGACGGATCATGGTTATACCTTCTCTTATCAAACTAATACAAGCAACACATTGGATTGCAAATGCCATGAGAAGTTTACATTAATGTGAAGCTTGTTTTATGTTTATAACGTGCTCTTTTGAGACAGAAAACCACAGCACTTCCAAGGCAAACAAAGAGCAAATTTAATGGCTTTCTAGACATGATTGGTTTGGGCACTGCACGTTTTAGCACAAAGGACTGCATGGATGTTCTAGTAACTGAAATTAACGGTCCTTCTGCAACTGATATCTGCAACATCAACCTTACAACTGTTGGTCAGTATGTTACGCTAATAATTTCTAGCTAAAATCGTCATTTCTAGCTACAACGGGCATTATAATTGGCCGTTGTTAGTACAAGTTGGTAGTTTTTCAGTAAACAACCCACTATGCACGAAGATCAACCCACTATGCACGAAGATCTGTCATTGTCATGAGTTTTTCAAAACCAGTTCAATTTTTCTTGTCAAGTTGACGCACTTGCTCGATCAGTGGCATTAAGAATTGTCTCTCTTTCAGTTGTGTGTTCTGAGTCTATGTATCATACAAGTTGTTGTTTCTGACCTACATAGATTGAATCTGGTGACTGTTGTAAGCTTGGAGGCCTCTTCTGAGTGTACTCTTGTCATAGGCCGGTTTGCTCTGTTCAGTCTTTCTTGCTAACTTGTTAGTTTGACCCTTTCCATAGACAGCTTCTTGTCATATTAGGAGGTTGAGAAAAATGGATCTGGGTTATAGAAGCCTCAAAATTAGACAATGATTCAACGAGGACGAAATAAACCACTTCTTGTCTGGTAACATTATTCTTATCACAAGTTTTTGAGTTCCTCCTAGGAAAGCTCACAAATAATACCACCATTTTCCTTTTGTTGGCAGTGGTGTTCTATGTATAGAGCTTGTATGTCCTCTTGGAAGCTTACTTGCTCCCAGAGATTGAATAAATACGAGAGGAAAGGGAATTCACTGTCCTCGCATAACTGATAACCCCACTCTTTGCTTTTCTTACATTTTAGTTTTTACTATCATATTTCTGATTGATCTCGTGTCCTGGTTATGGACTTGTTGATGGTAGTTCCTGGGGTGAAATTCAACAAATGGAAGGGGCCAGCAATCAAAATGTCACTACCAAGTTTTAGGTAAATTTTCATCTAAATTGGTGTTTAAAGAATCGCCACGCGTTATGCCTACAACATCTTAAGTCTTATATCCTCCATATGTTGTGAAATTGCAGTGGACGTACAGAGTATAACCACAACCTTTTGAAATATTCTTGCAACATTGAATGCAGGTACACTCTTGCACTGTTAAACTTAATGAATGCATTTTGAAGAAGAGAACAGAAAATAGCTGAGTTGGTCCTCATCTAGTAAGAATAAAAATATGCTTGTAACCAATCCAACTGGATTCCTGTCGCTCTGATCATCCTAAAAAGTGATGCAGTCATGTTCTTTTTAAATGACCAGAGAACTCCAGAGCATATTGTCACGTACATTCACTGGCCTGCGTTAAATATATATGAACTTTTCTCACAAAGCTCCTTTTGAGTACAAAACACGATCACTTCTCTTTTGGAATAAATTCATAGCAAAAATTTTGTATAATATGACATCAGCGAGTGATTTTGATTGAGCGATTTTTGTAATAGAGTGCGAGCAGTGCCAGCAGCAAAAGTATCAGGGCCATCTTCACCACCAAAGCACGACACTGAAGAGTCATCGAGCGAGCATGGTTTGAAAACTCTGGACCGTAAGAATAAAGAACTCCTAGATGAGAGACAAAACTTGAGCTTATCTGTGATGTTATCAAAACCAATACTAGCTTTGGAGTTCAGTTGTTTGAAAATGCAGGTTGAAGCACCAGTTGTAGTTTCCAAAAGCAAGTTTGCAGCTACAGTCACAAATTAAGGGCACTGTTATCTTTCATTGATGTAGTAATCAATGCCAGTTTTGTATTGGTTTTTACATTTTCTTTTGTAAATGATTAATCTTGGTAGTTGCAAATTGTCGTTGCTGTAAATAGTGGCAGTCTGGCAGAGCTATGGTGTTTTCATAAGAGCCCACCCAAATTCATAATTCTTTCCAGAAAACTATATCAATGTGATGGTATAATCAAATAGAATATCAAAAGTAGATTGGAATTGTCATTGGTGCAGGATGGACAATGCAATGCTAATGAGGATGCTTTTGCAATATTCCTTCCCCAAGAATATAACCTTCGTAACCTTTCCTAGTAATAATTACCAATCCAAACATGTAATAGTTTTTTCCCTGTTAAGGTTTAGAAATCAAGCTGAGTTGATGAGAAAAGAACAATAAAGAAATAAATGGAAGAGCAAAGAAATAGTAATTTGTGCTGAATTCTAACCATTCTCTCTGTAGTTACGACCCTTTTTTCTCCTCTCAAATGGGAGTTTGAAAGTGATACCAAATAGTATTAAAAAAGAAGAAGAAAAATGATACCCCACGAATGCGCTTGGCCTAAACTCTCAAGTTCTCTCTAAGATACATTTGCCTTGAAATGCTTTTTCTCCAGCGAAATGAGATAGCAAAATTTTGGATCGGTTTTGAAATTTTGATGTTTTTCTAGAATGAGGGGTTGGTTAGCAAAATTGGAACGTTACATTTTGGACATTGCATGCGAAATTCTTAATGAATAGTAAACTTATTCGGGTTGAAACATATGGAATTTTAGCGAAAGTAATTCCTTTACTTCTTAATCCAAGGCACCCAAGAAGCAACCACTTGTTAAATAATACTCAAGGGATAGGTTATTAAAATCACATTTTTAATTAGGATCCGTAGAAAAGTCTGAAAAATCAGATTGTAAGCTGAAATTACGGAATCCTAAGATTTTAGAAATATATTAAATGATTATATAATGCATCATTAAATATGAAATTTGATTAATATTACCTTCTGATTAAAGTTAATCCTCCAATAGCCCAAAATAAAAGGCATGGTAGTCAGATTGAGCAAATTAGGATGTTAATGTAAATTTTTCTGGGGTTTACATGATAGGCAAAGAATTAATTGCACCTTAATTGGATAAAATTGAAAAAAAAAAAAATTCAAACTCATCTTATTACATCCGCGACAAACTTTCTTGGGGACATGAAATTCTCTGAAATCAAGCTCCCGAATTTGATGTTGGAGCTTGCTTTATAATCTCATGAGATAATTTCATTTTATTAGTCTTTTAAGGAGAACATAGTTAAGATATATATGATTTAAAAGAAAGAGCTATAACAAAATAGATAAAATCATAGATGGTAATAAATCAATGAAGAGATTAAGTTGCCAATTATAAAGCATATTATAAAAATTGGAAGGCGCCCATTAACTTAAAAATATAATAAACAAAGAGAAGAAAACTAAAGTTTAATTTATTACCCTCCTCATTGGTCACGATCACCTAAAACGAAAGGTTTATTAAAAAGGGTTTTTACGGAGTAGAATCTCTTTGGAAAATATAAGATTTTCAAGAGACTAATCTTTAACCGTCATCCATTAAGATCTTGGATTTATTTGGTTTAAGAGACAATGATCATGTTTTAATGTTGGTTTAGCTTGAAGAGTATGTTTTCTAATCTAGCTTTGTAGGTTTAAGAGGCCTGTTAACATAAAACGATCACTGCAAAGTAAAAACGTAAAAACAGTTATTGACACGCGATTTTATCAATTTAAACGATATGACATGCATATTAATTGCAATAAAATTATAAGTTTTTTGAACAATCTCACACGTTTAGGCTATTTTAATTTGTAAGATCGAACGATTTTATGCGTTAAAACGCGATTTTTATAATCATATTCAAGAGTGATAGCAGTGATATTCAAGGAATAACTAATTATATTTACTCAATAAAAGAAAAATAGAAGATAAGTGATTTTTTTAAAAAAAATAATTGAATTTAGGTGAAAATATTTTTATTATTTTTAGTGAATTGAGATGTGTGTGTGTGTTTTTTTTTCTGTTTTTTAAAATAGATTCTTAGAATAATTATTATTAATTACTACTGAAATATTTTAAAATTCCCGGTGACAGCACGTCATGCCTTTGGAGTCTTCCAAAATTAAAGGAATCAAGTATTGGTCCAAGGAGGAGATGTCTGGCTCGGCCCTTCTAGGCATCTTCCTCTTTTGTTGAGCGAATGATCTTGTGAGATTTTCAAATTAAAACAAGCCTTCACCAAACCCCCCACCCTCCTTTTTTTTATAAGAAATCTTTTTCAAATAAAACAAAAGAATTCAAGAATTTTTAATAATAATAATACGTTAGGTATATTGTCAACATGATTGCTTTAACTAATTTCTAACTAACATTTTGTTGATTCATGATTGTCGGCTATATCTAACTATACAAATTATACAAGTCTTAGGGGTTAGGTTGCCTTTGATTAAACTAAAATAAACCACCATTATTAGTTTTACAAAGGGTTTAATGATTTAGGATGTTCCTCTAATATTTTGTTTATCCCTCTACTAATTTTCTCATTAATTTCATCCCTTTACTTTGATTAGCATAGTAATTTCATTCCTCCATCCAAATTTTTAGGTAACGACAACATCAATTTTCAACGACAAATGAATAAAATACTAACATGTGAATTTTTTTAATTTAAAAAAAAATAAATTTTCTTAAAAAAAGAAATCACAAAATGCTCTTCTTTTTCTCTACCTTTATGTATAGAAATAAGTAATTGATTCCATCCCTCTTTTTTATTTTTTATTTTTGTTTTCTCTCAAATCCAAACCAAAAAAGAAAATTTTTATTGTATAGGAAGGAATAATTTATATCTATTTTTTTATTTTAGAAATTTGTTATGAAAATTTATTTCAAATCCAAACCTAAAGAAAATTTTTTATGAAATTTTTTTCATAGCATAGGAACATAAGCAAAAGGCGAGAGGGGAAAAAAAGGACATTTTGGAATTTTTTTATATTTTTAGAAATTTAATTTTCAAAAAACATTATCACGTGTCATCATTTGTGCATCCGTCACCAAAAATTGATGTTGTTACCTAAAAAATTAGATGGAGGAATGAAATTAAGATGCCAATTAAAGTAAAGAGATGCAATTAATAAGAAAATTAGTAGAAAACACAATTAAGACTAGGGATGGCAATTGAACCCGACCCGAGCTAGCCTCGTCTTGCCCCACTTAAGGATGGCAATGGGGCGGGGCGGGGATGAGGACGATCCTCGTCCCCGCCCCGCTCTAAAAAATTTTTCCCCATTCTCGCTTCGTGCCTCGAACGAGGATCCCCGTCCTTGCCCCGCCCCTAAAAAAGTTTCCTCATCCCCGGCCCGTACCCCAAACGGGATAAAATTTTTCATACCATCCCCACCCAAACAGGGCGTAAACGGGATAAAAATTAGTTTTTTAATTTTTTTTCATTTTATCTCATTTTACTACCAAATTTTAAATTATAAAAAAAAATGATAATTTATATAGAAAATAAATCATAAAATTCACTAATTATAGATTTTATATGAGGTATAATTATAATTTTAATGACAAAAAAAGAAATGGGGCAAACGGGGCGGGGCGGGGCGGGCAAATCCCATCCTCGCCTCGTCCCCGCTCGCGGGGCGCCTCGCCCGGCCTCGTTCCTCGATCAACGTGGAGAATCCTTGCGTTGATCGGGAAAAATTGAGTCGGGGTAGGGCGGGCTCCATTGGGGCGGGGCAAATTGCCATCCTTAGCCCCGCCTCGCATTTTTTAGGCGAGGATGGGATTTGGCCGTCCCACCTCGTTTTGCCACCGTGTACAATGACTTAGTCACTTTTGTCTCATGTTTTTTCTTTGATATTATCTTTTTTTGCATCCATCCGGGCTATGTCTTGACAACTTATCTTTAGACTAATTGACTATATTTTAACGAAGAAGTTTATAGTTCTTCAAGCAAAGCAATTAATTTCTTAAGTAATATGGTTTACAAAAAAAAAAAAAAGGATAATTTTTGCCTCGTTTGCCCCGCGGTGATCCTCGTCCTCATTTGGGGCGGGGATGGAATGGAAAATTCCGCCCGTTCGAGGCACGGGGCGAGGATGGGAAAATTGTTTTAGGGGCGAGGCGGGGATGAGGATGGGGATCCCCCCTTGCCATCCCTAATTAAAAAAAAAAAAAAAAACAAAATTGTAGAGGGGGACATTCTAAACCATTAACCCTTTTAAGAATACTACTTTGACTCGATTTTGGAATTTTTCATATTTTTAGAAATTTAATTTTCAAAAAAATTTATCACATGTCATCATTTTGTGCATCTATCACCAAAAATTGACGTTGTTACCTAAAAATTTAGATAGATGAATGAAATTAAGATGCCAATTAAAGTAAAGAGATGCAATTAATGAGAAAATTAGTAGAAAACACGATTAAGACAAACAAAACCGTAGAAGGACATTCTAAACCATTAACGCTTTAAAGAATACTACTTGGATTGATTTTGGAATTTTTCATATTTTTAGAAATTTAATTTTCAAAAAAAATTATCACGTGTCATCATTTTGTGCGTTTGTCACAAAAAATTGACATTGTTACCTAAAAATTTAGATGGAGGAATGAAATTAAGATGCCAATTAAAATAAAGAGATGCAATTAATGAGAAAATTAGTAGAAAAACATAATTAAGACAAACAAAACCGTAGAGGGACATTCTAAACTATTAACCCTTTTAAGAATACTACTTGGATTGATGGGAGACTCAATGGGAGACTCAATTTGCACGAATGGTCCATTTTATTTAGATTTAGAATTAATTGCATTTTTATTCTTTTTATTTTTAAATTTTCTTAATGTAGTCTTTTTATAATTTATTTATTTATTTGAATTTTTTATTCTAGATATTTTTTTAACGTGATCTCTCTAATAATAATCTAGTCAATTTTTCTATAACAAATGACAAGTGAAATGACATATTATATAAAAACAATAGGTGACAAAACTTCATCATTAATTAAGATAAAACACCTTTCCATACACTTTAGATTTTCTTAGTGTGGTTAGATTTTTTTAAAAAAAATTCTTAACCATCGGGCCAATTCTATTTTCATATAATTCATTTAAACATAAAAATTTAATGAAAAGCAATTTCTTCAAATTTAAAGTATTCAATATTCTCTATCTATTAAGTAACCTCTAGTTACAGAGTAAATTTTTGATACTATTACATCTATTTTTTAATTGATCAAATAACCTAATTCTTGCTGGCCAATTAAAACTCTGCAATACACTAGTTGTAAAAATCATTTGTCATGAAAAAAAAAAAACAGCCAACACTTATATATGGATAAGGATAACATGTTTGATAAATCGAGTGAAAACTAGGAAAAAAAAAAAAGGTCACGTGTATTACCTTTGTCATATTTAATATATATTAAATAATTTTGAAATTATATATTTCAAATCTATTTTGTAGGAAGTAATGACTTGTAGAGAAATTTTATAATACACAAGGAGTAACTAGTGGCATATACGGTAGTTACTCCTTGGGCCCACTTTGAGGAGAGAAATAGACACACAAAAAGAGAGAGAAAATAAAAAAATTTGAGCGGACGTGAAAATCTTCTTATTACTTTTGGTGGATATGGATGTAATTTCTCTCTTTTTTTATGTGTCTATCTCTCTCCTCAAAGTGGACCCAAGGAGTAAATATTGTATATACCACTAGTTACTCCTTATGTATTATAAAATTTTCCATGACTTGTATGCTTGCTAGATACACTTAGGGATTGCAATGGGGCGGGCGGAGATCGTCATCCACTGTCCCCGCCTAACTCTTGAAAACTTTACTCTATCATTATCTCGTGTTCCGAACGGGGCAAAATTTGTCACATTATCCCCGACCTAGATGGACACGAGGATCCCCGCGAGGGCATTAACGAGGCAAACGAGGTAAAAAAATTATCAAATTTTTTTTTCGTTTCGTCTTATCCCATTCTACTATCAAATTTCAAATCATAACAAAAAAATGATAGTTCATATAGAAAATAAATCCTAAAGATCACTAGTCACAAATTTTATATAGAGTATAATTATAATTTTAGGGATGAAAATCATGAAATGGTGGTAAAACGGGGCAAACGATGTGGAGCGAGCAAATACAATCCCCGTCCTATCCCCATTCACGGGGCGCCCGCCACGCCCTATTTTTTGGTCAACTTGGGAAATCCTTGTGTTGATCGGGACAAAACGGGACAAGGTGGGACAAATTGCCATCCTTACCGGATACCTATATATATTATTCATTGAATTTTATTTATTTTAGCAATTTTTATTGAGCATAAATATAATTTATGAAACACACCATACATACAAAATAATAATTAATCAAGTATTTATAATTAAAAAAATTATAAATCCATGTGTAGAATCTCACACTTTTATATACTTTAAATTTATCAAGATGAATAAAAATTAAATGTGTTTTATTTTAATTATCATTATTGAACGGCATAATAAGATTTCAAAATTAAAATTTTAACTTCCCTCCATAGATGTATACAAATTAAAAACCTAAAATTATATTAGGATCATTTTATTTCTTGGTATTTTAGAAGGAGAATAAATAATGTTCAAGATGGAGGAAAAAAAAAGAAGAAGAAGAAGAAGAAAAAAAAGAAGAAATTCGAAAAGAAAACAAAAGGCGAGGAGGCTAACCCGGCTCGCACCCTGGGCTTGTCAGCGCATGCCCGAGTGCACCTAAACCAGGCGATCCAAGCCCGATCTTAACAAAATTTTGTTTTTTTGTTTTTTTTTTTTTAGAAAAAAACATAGAAACGCATGGACACCTCATCATCTCATATAAATTGAAAATTAGCCTCCAACGGCTTCAGGAGGCTAAGATTCATCAAATAGAGGTAACAACAGCCTTAATTGATGCTGGAAACCAGTTTTCTAGCCACTTTCTCTCTCCCCCTCTACTTCTCCAACTAGGAAACCCTCCTTCTAACCAAGGGCCTTTTCGTAAATTGACCAATTTATACGAACCAAAAGTGTCCGTGCCAAAAAGACAAAATTCTGAGGTAACAGCATTGTGAATTTTCAATGCTGTAATATTTGCCTGCAATAAATATTGATCTTAACATGAAAATTTTACATCGGTAGTTTTATGTCCCTACTTTCTGCATTGCACATGCCAAAATAAATACAATATGATGCTGTGTAGTGTAATAAATACAAAATAAATATTGATACTTCATCCTTAACAATATCTTGAATTTTAATATTCTCATGTTTCTATCTGCAGAGGTATTCTCTTTTAAAACTCTGTCCTAATTTTTAAGAATACGAACTTAGATCTAAATATTGCTTTTTTTTTTTAATAAATAAAAAAGAATTAGTAAATAATTTTTAAAAAACAAATAACCAACATGAACCTCAATGTAAAAAAAAAAGCATTTTAAGAAAAACATGGTCTAATTAAATTATAAATTAACAATTTACAAGAGAAGCATTTATCAAGAGATCAAATATGAAACAAATATAATTGTTTTAAAGAAAAATATAAATTATAATATACAATTGACACCTGCCATCAATTTTTAAGCTGAAAAAAAAAAAAAAAACCAACAACCTGCATGTGGAGCACGAATAGAAGAACACTAGTTTATTTAAAATCCGTATGAGCCAAGCAGCCGTATACACATGCATGCTGTCCTTAATACAATTGTTGAAGCATGTTAGGGGTATCAATTATTTGAAAGAGATCGCTATTTTTCATAAAATTATGTATGGGGGCCTGTTTTTTAACTGATAGGTCCGTCGTATCAAAGTCACATCATCTAAAAGAAATATCAGTCATGCTCAAAGAAGTTGTCTAGTTCATCCAACCTCAACTATATATCTTGGTGGGTCCCGATTGCAGAACATGAATTTCATTCAAGTACTGATCCTAATCTAGGAAAAAAGATAACATTTATATATTGTACAGGCTTTTAATATCCCCGATAAAAGAAAAAAATATTTTCTTGATGCCGGCTTGGAAGTAAAGTCGTTTTATTATTAAGTCAAGTTTGATATTTATAAAATATAGTCATCACATTCTTAAATTAAATTAAAAAAAAAGAGTAAAAGTAAATAAGTAATGGTTGTTCCGGAGGGTGGGTTGGTGAAAATTAATTACCATACATTAAGTTAATTAAAGGTGCAAATCAAACGAAAGTCGTAACAGCAACCAAAAGTTGCTTTTGTTTTTTATGTTATTCTAAGTCAATAGACCATGTTATTAAGGACGACAAATTAGGCAAACTGGAAGTACGAAAGCAACCCACAAAATCACGAGCAGATGAAAAAAGAAAACAAGGAGCAAAAGTGCCAAAAAAGATACCAAAACAGCGCGATACGTGCACGTGGCCTTAATAGATACAAGCTCGTGCACCAACCACTCCGGCTTCCGAGGTTAAATGCAGCTGTTTCACTGTACTGGTCAATGCTGTCCAAATTAGATTTTATTGTCGAAAAGAATTTCTCACCAGCAAAACAAAAGAGAGCACGATTGTCATCTGCACATATACATATATTGGTGGATTCTCTAAGCGCCTAGCTATCTGAAGTTAATCATGCAAGTTGCGGCGCCGGCTGGGTACGGCAAACCTCCTTGGATATTCAAAGGCAGGCATGTAGTCTTCAATTCGACCTTTAAATTATAAATTATATATGATCATAGCCAGTCGGATTAACATAAGCATAATCGATATACACACACACACATTTCGCTTTCATATACATGATGTTTATTGTTCCAATTTTATTTCAGTGCCTTGTACCAGGTTCATCTTGTGAGAGCCAAAACTGCTCGGGAATTCATTCCAAAACAGTTAAAGCTAGTTGAAGCTTTCGGGTATATATATATATAAACATATATAACTATATATTATGTTTTCTGGTTTCATTTTTTTATGATGAAGAACTCAAGTCCTTACCTTTCAATTGCAAGTCAAATACCTTCCTGACTAGCACATAATCAACTCAGCATGACTGTCTACGTACTGAAATGAGATTCATGAGTCCAACTGGTGACCCATGAAATTGGAGGATATTGTGGGAGGTGAAAATTGAGAAAAAAGGTCTCATAAATTCTCATCCCACACCCTTCAACCAATGAGCTCTGTACCCTTGTGGACTTTTTCTGGTTTGGTTAGTTTGAGAATTCTTATTCAACTTTTTACACTACTGTAGGTACACTCTTGGTGGATTTTTTCTTGCTAGTTATGAAGATAGTCCAGTTGGGGTTTTTGATGAGGTTGCATCCCATCTTCAAGCTGTTTGTTTTTAGAATTTCGGTGATTACAAACTAGTTAATCCTCTCTTCTAGGATTTTTTCCTGTCCCAAAATGGGAACCACAATTCTGTGATATTTATTTTTATTTATTTGCAGCTTGTAGTGCTCGCAGGACTTGTGCAGAACTTTCCAACACCATATGCGTAAGTATGAAATAACTTGTAGAATTGGAATGATATAACGAAGATTAGCATGGCCTCATCACAAAATGACGGGTTGAAATTAAGAAAAATCCCAATTTAACTGATCTATCACTAGAATTCGAATTCAATTGAGTTTTGCCAAGTGATTTATTCCAAAATTAAAACTTGCCAAATTACAGTTCCATGCTAGCTAAATGAAAACAATTTGTTTTTTCCTACCATATGTTGACTGGTGTATGCTATAGTGTAGCCGTTATTTGTTTGTTTATTTATTTATTATTATTATTATTGTGTCTGTCAACAGATGGGCAGCCAGGGTGCTTGTGAGCAATGATGATGCTTGCAATCATGGACGAAAGGTGGGAATTCATCAAATTCCCAGTGAAATTCTGAAATTTTGTTATTGAATATAATTAATTAAATTCCGATTAGTAATATGAAGTTATTAATATTATAGCTAGTTTGACTGCTTTCAACAAATGCTATCCTATCTTGAGACTGAAAGTGTTAAAATACCTACATGAAAACAGCTTTAGAGCATATATATATATATATATATATATATATAAAAGAAGAGCGAACTTCACATATAGTAAATCTCAATATATTCACAAAGAATAATATCTTTTTGTCCAAATTGCTTCATGGATTTTTTTCAACCGTAAACATTTTATATATTTATATAAGGAATTGCCGACGTCCTTTAAAATTGGTTATAATTTTAGATGAAAGGGAACTATAAATAAATTTTTTTAATCTTTAAGAATTCAATTGAGAAAATTAACTTATATAGGCTTACATGCTCATCTTATCTCAACTAGTACTGATATTTCTAATGACAAAAAGAAGTCAGAAATGGATCCCTTATTTCTAATCTTTCTTTGTGCTCTCTCGTAGGAATTTGGGCTTCCCAGTCAAATCGGGAAGTTTTCAAAGGTGATTTTTGTTTTTCTTGCTTTACCATGCCTGAGCGTCAATTCAGATTTTTTTTTTCTCAATTGAGTCTTAAGGATTTAGAAATGTTTTTTGTACTCTGCTATGTTGGAAACAGAGAATGAAAGCAATCCCAAGGCAGAAAAAGAGTAAACGTAGCGACTTTCTCGACATGACTGGTTTGAGTACCAAACTCCCTGATCCAAAAGATTACATGGACGTTCTAGTGAATGAAATTAATGGTCCTTCTGCAACAAACCTCTGCAATATCACCCTTGGAAAACCTGGTGAGTTGGTTACACTAATGACTTCAATTGTTGTCTCCAGAAAATAGTGGTTTAATTGGCGATTGTTTGGTAGTTAGCTTAAGCATTTTGTCTTAATGGTCACCAGCGACTCCTCGGATGAAATTGGACGAGTGGATGGGGCCAAAAATCAAATTTTCATTACCAAGTTTTAGGTAAAGTTGTTTTTTCCGGTGTCATGTCAAAACCGTGCTGCTACAGATTAGAAAAAAAGAAAAAAATCCTACAAAATATTAAAAAATTAATATAGTGATTATCTTAAACAATCATTTAATATTTGTTGGTAATATATTTCATTATTTATTAGTTGTCATATGTTTATATTGCATTTTAGTATGATTTATTTGTAAATGGGGCGGGAAGCCATGGACAAGCTATATATTACATAATTTTTCTTTTCAACTTTTATACTAATGGGGGGGGGGGGGGGGGGGGGGTGATGATCAACGAAATGAATACCCCGAGTTCAATTTTTTGCTTTTTATATATCAAAACTTAAGAATGAATGTTAGATTCCAATAACATATAGAGGGAATTTTAACTGGTAAAATTTCTTTGTGATAAGTTTTAAAATAATTAAGACCACTAATGATAGATTTGTTATGATGTAATGATATATTTGATATAATATAAAGACTTATTGTATTCTTATGTTTGCCTTTTCAATTTTCAAAATTTTAATGAATACGAAAGATTACAAAATTGTAATGAGGATTACATATAAAAGCTATATAATGGACCATTACATCAGTAAAAATAATAATGTGGGGAGCTGAATGCGAAAAAAAACTCATCGTAAGGACTAAGATTTGCTTTTTAGAAAATTAAAAGGAAAAATCCCAAATAAAGACCTATTTCTAAATAAAATTTAAAATTAAATATCAAGACTAAAATAATAGTTGTCAAAAACTATAGAAACTAAATGAAAAATTACATTAAAAAAAAATACAGCCAAACAAGAGAATGCTGTAAATCAATATATTGCATTAAATTACAAAATAAACTTCACAACATACCAAATATGCCGTAATTGTGTGGAACTTGGATTTTTGTAACTTGTGTGGAAATTATTGCAGCGGACTCACAGAATATAATCCTGCCCTTATGACGTATTCCTGTGATGTTGAAAGCAGGTACATTTTGTGTTCAATCTCTCGATAGTATTCTGTTTGGGAGACCCATACATGCATATATTGTTTTGACTGGCTATTGATCACTCAATACATATCCTGTGTAAATTGTCACAGAGTTCGTCTAGTGCAACCAGCGAAGATAGCAAGGCCATTTCTGACCCGGAAGCATATCGATACGGATGAATATGTGGACCCTAATAGTACTGAAGAAATCTTGAATAACGAAAGGAAGCTAAGCATATCGGTCATGCTATCCAAACCGGTACTAGCTTTGGAGTTCAATTCTATGAAAATGCAAGTTGAAGCCCCCGAAATCGTTTCTCATACAGGCCCCACTGCATAATCTCTCCGAGAGTTCCTCGACCAAAGGGCACCATTGCCAAATTATTAACGTATCCAACATACAGTTCAATCATTACGTTCTAAATTTCCATGCGTTAATTTCACACCACGTCCCTCTATTATTGGTGTTCGATTAGTTGGATCTTTTTTCTATTAATATGATTAATGTATTCCATTTATAATTAGCTAGTAATTTTAATCTAAATTGTTGTTAGAAGTAATTTGTAGACTTTTAGAGGAATGGTTTTAACTATAAACAAAATATATTATAAAAAACACAATTAATTATATTAATAATAAAGAGATCCAATTGATCAAACTACATATAATAGAGATAAAGAGGGCGTTATTAACTCAATGTCAAATCCAAAACACCTAACCAATTTTTCTCTTAAAAATACAAGGGAAACTCGGCCATCAAATTTATCTCACAAAAGCCAAGCATGCGTGGTATGTAGGTGGAGTCCACCTCTCGTGGATCTAGGAAACAAAAAAACCCCGTGCAAGTGTATGTCTTGTTGAAAATTTAATTCTATTTTGTGTAAAATAGATTTTGTAAAAAAATAATCAAATCAGACATTCATAATAATAAAGAGCAAAAATAGATTGAAAACAAGAGCACGGCTACAATAATACTAAATTTATGTTAAAAAAAAAAAAACCTTTCTCTTATAAAAGAAAAATCACACAACCAATTTCAAAATAATCCATTATAATAATAATAAAAAAAAACAATATAATCACTCAATTTTCTTTGAGAACTTGAGAAGTAAAAAAAATAAAATAGTAATCATACAAGTTATCTCGTCTAATAAATCTACGTTCTCTATACGAAAATTTGAAATTTGTAAAAATTTTATGTTATTATGAATCTCAATACCGTGTGAGATGATCATTTTAAATAATATAATTATCTATGATTGTATTATCTAAAAATCAAGTTATCACTCTCTCTATCTGGCGTGAATTTCTCACTTCTATCTCCATTTTTTTTACCAGCAAAACAAACTTAACATCTAAAAATAGAGTAAATTATAATTTAGTATCTGTAATTTTAATGATTTTACAAATTAGTTTCTTTTTTATTTTTTAAAATCATAACTTAGTAATTTGATTAACATTGACTATTAATACGTCTTTGAAATTTCTAAATTACTTTTTATAAATGCATTTTTAATATTATATATAGTAGGTGAGATAGGAAATTTTGATTAATAAAAAAATTAGGAAAAAAAAGAATTAATTAAATTGTCAAGAAAAACTAACAAAAATACTAAGTGACAAACAAATGTAAAAATATAAAGAATCAATATTGAGGTTTTTTAAAACAAAAGGTAGAGTGGGAATGGACGTGGAAGCTAGATAGTGAATTTTATTTTTATCATCGCAATAATTATTTGTTGCTTGTTTATGTTTAATTATTATGTTGTGGGCTCAAATGGCCAGTTTTTGATAACGACGGTGGATCTGTGAAAGGATCAGTTTTGTGTCTGTTGAAGAGGCTGAGTTAGACCAACGGTGGTTACATGCGCAGAGGATGAAATTTTTTCATGGATGTGGTTTTGATGAAGATGGGCACAGCTGAGAAGAGTTTACGCGACATGTCAGAGAAAAGGAGAAAGAGGAGATAAAGATGCAAACATATCCGAGTTGTTGTGGGAAGCTAAATGTTCTAGCAAAGATGCAATTATTGTGGATAGTTGCTCCTCTCTTGCATGTGTTCGAATAATTATTGCACTTATTTATTTAGATAAGACATGTATTGTCTTATTTTAGACACTACAAAGCAATGGATAGAAGCATGTGAACTACCAACTATAAAATATTGAGCCAGCTGTTCAGAAAGTAAAATACAAGCATTATTTGAACTCAAAAGGAAAAATGTTTTGGAAGTATTGCTACCCTTAAGCAATACCATGGTCAAAGCCTTTTGTGCCACTGCATAAAGCCAAAACAATTTTTTTAAAAAAAATTGCATTTTTCGATCCAGATGGCTTGTCATTCATTATTCTTAACCAGCTGTAAAAACTCAAGCATGCAATCAAAACCACTGGAATAAAAAATGCATGAGGTGGTTAGAAAAGATTTGATGAACAAAAATAATATGAATGGAATAGCATGATAAACAGAAGGAAAATTTATGATGATTGGCTAAAATATGTAAATATTCTTTTTTGTAAAATTAATTAAGTAATTTAGTTAATTTTAGTCAATCATCATAAATTTTTATCCGGTAGTGATCGATGCTATTTTTTTGCAATGAAAAAAACGTTGTTATTTAACGACGAACTAGCGATGGATTTGCGATGGTGTTTAGCGTCGGATAATTGCGACGGTTTGTAGGTCAGTATTTAGTGACGAATTATAGATGCATTAGCAATGGAATTACGACGAATTATGGGGTGGAAATACAACGGTTTTGCTGTCAAATTAGTGATGGACATTGTTCAATCCGTCGTAATGGTTAGTGACAAGCGTTTTGGCTACGGATTTTTTTCAGTCGTAAATCCGTCGCTAATTAGATAGCAACGAACTTTGTTGATACAACGACGGAATAATACATCGCTATTATCCTGATTTCTTGTAGTGAGAAACATATAACTAATTTATTTTAATATATAATGATAAATTGCGAGACTGAGCCCATCATATAAATACATACCATACTATTTCCTCTTATTTCTTTGTTTGACATATTGGTTTCTAGTTGCCTTTTTTTACTTGATTAAAATTGATCAGTTTTTTAAAAAAACTAACAACTTAGATACTCTTTCTTCTTTTTTTCTTTTGTCTCAAATTAAATAATATAAACCTTAAAATCTCATCTTTCTTAGTTTTATTATTTTATTTTTTAAAGCAACTTGTTTTTATTAAGACAAAGAAGAAAAGTATTTAGATTTAAAAAAAAAAAAATTTGGATGGAGAATTTATTTTATTTTAAAATTAATTATATCAAATAATTTAAAATAATCGATTAAGTTGAAGATTACTGAAGTTTAGGCTATTTATATCATTTTATTATATAGTTTTATATGTAAAATATGAAATCCTGGAAAAAGTAACAAAATGATGACTTGATTCAAATACAACAAAATATAAAGAAGTCAAAACTGAAATTGAGAATATATAAACTAATCCTTAAATCACCTTAAGTTCAAAGGAAAGATTTCGGCGATTAGCCTTTAAAAATGCCAGGATATCATATGCTCCACAAGAATTGACCTATTAATTACCCAATCTCTACAAAACTTTCATACTAAGATGAGATCACGAAAACAATTAATATTTATTTCTTCTCATGCAAATTAGTGATGCTTTAAGGTGCCAACGAAAGGAAAACAACTTGCTCAAAACGTTGGGTTGGTTATGTTTCAGCATCATCACTAGATTGGGATCCGCACTTTGCTGCGGGGTTTGGCATAATTATTTATATAAATGAATGCTTTTGCGTAAGCATCGATCCATTTTATGAGCAGACAGAAGTGGAAAAAAAGGTTTTGATGACAAAAAAACTAACTATATAGATAAAAAAAAAAAAAAATGCTACGCATTCATCTAATTTAAAGAAAAGAAGAAGAAGAAGAAGATAAGTTCAACTTTGGAATTTGCAAACAAGCCATAAAAAAGTTGGAATGTCATTTCAATGGAACCCTTCATGCTTCACCCCCTCTTAAAATGAAAAAAATTCAAACCACATGACCAAGCCAAATCATAAACACACTGGAACAAAAATAATGATATTGTTCTTGTGGCATTAAATTTTAATTGATATAATAGCAATTGTTTTATAGTAAGTAGATCTACAAAACAGACATACATGAAATTATATTGAGCGAAAGCAACAATATTCATCAAATAACCATTTTTATCGAAGGGTGGTAAATATAAGAAGCTAATGTTTCTAAATTGTATTCAAACATAGAACTGTAAAGATTTATTATGTAGGCGCGAATCAATCAAATTAACTGAGCTTATCAAAATATCTAGCATAGCAATTTTCTACAAAAGCCATTAGACAACAACCTAAAACTTTAATTCATAAAGAAATCAACATAATCTATGTGTTGGAGATGTCAAAGCGAACAAACTTTCTATAAACATAAAATACCAATAAACATTCACAAAATAAGGAACCATATACAATTTTTTTTAAAAAAATATTTATCCTATAACAACAGAAGAATATATATATTATCGAGCAATAGAAAAATCAAATAAAATCAAAACTAAACGTATATTTTTTATATCTTTGCCATCAAAGACAATTTCCTTTTCATTTTTGCTGATAGTGTAACAGTTTATATCACAACAAAACATGTGTTAGTGTAAAGAGTTACAGTTCATTTTATAAGTGTGTTGAGATGAGCATTTAGTGATACCCAGTAGGCAAACATTGCCAGCCCATGCTTAGCGTGTATGGTAGGGTTTTAGAGAGAGAAAGATAGAGAGTAAAAGTTTTAGAGATTTAGATAGATCTATCTATTACATAACTGAAAGATGTAATAACAAAATGTAAATTAAAAAAAAAAAGTAATAATAAAAGAGCACACAAACACTTGAAAACACAAAGAAAATACCGATGAAAAAAAGACAAAACAAAATAGACTAGTAAAATGTGACAAAAAAAAAACAAAAAACATGCACACGAGTGTAAAAAACAGAGTTAACAAAGGTAATAACCAGTACAAAGTAAGGCAAAATTCAAATGAAATAGGAAAGATGCAAAATGAAAGGAAAACCTAAAAGCTATGGAAGGGCGACAATTGGCCAAAAAGGCTAATCACTGAAAGAAAGAAGGCAGGATAACACGAAAAAATAAGCAACAACATCCAATTATTACTCATCTCGCCAACAACAAATTGAATAAGGAAAAACAAAGTGCAAAACAATGGCCAATAGTAGATTTCATTTGGAATGATGTCACTAAGTGAGCCAAATAATTCTGCATGACACTTACTCTGAAAACAAATTTGACTAGGAAGAGGGAAGCTTAATCACCTA